ATAAAAGGTGCACAAAAAGTCCCCTTATTAGCTGGAGCTGCTGCCAGTGATGCGGTGCCAGCGCTGCCAAGCATTTCCTAGGCTGTTGCTGGTGGCAGCTGGGCAGCCGCTCGCCTGGGCTGTGGACAGAGGTGACCTGTGCTCCCAGAGCTGTTTTTCCCTGGCACCATGGGTTGATAACCCCATCCAGGCTCTGACATCTCCACGTTTTCCAGGTGGGCTTGTGGCTGCAGTGATGGACCAGGCAGTGCCTGGGGGATGGATGGGCTTGGGAGGGAGTAAAATAATTTGATTTTTGAAAGCGGGGAAAAATAAATTAACCCTTCCCCACACTGTCCATAGCAGTGCTTTTTTGCTTTCCCTGCTTGTAGGTTTTGCATATGTCTGGAGCTGCTGTGCAGTGACCCAGACAAGGGTGCTGAATGCCCCAGGATGCTGCAGGTGCTTGCTGAGGGTGTCCTGAAGCCCATTGCTGTGTGTGTCCAGGAGGCCTCGTGTGTGCAAGTTATTGTGGGAGTTATTGCCATGTCCTGGCGTTGATCTGTACCTGCTCAGCAGCTCCATCCCATCCTCCCGGGAAATCCCAAGCTGGGATGAGCAGTGCTGTATCCACACACACTCTGCAGGGATATGGAGCAGTGCTGAACTGCTTTGTTTTACAATGGTGCTCTTTTCATAAGTCAACGCCAAAGGTGATAAATCCGTCCTGTGGAAAATTAGCGAGTGGTTTATTGTATAAACTCCTCCTGCGGGGTCTGGGGCTGGGAGCAGAGCTGGGCTTAGCTCCCAGCCAGCACAGCCTGCTCAGACCTCTAAATCCCAGAACCAAAAAGAGCCCCTCTTGCTGCTGGTGAAAATGTAATTGTCAATATTACAACAATGTGAAGATGTGTTTTGGTTATTGATTATTTCTGCATGGCTTTGAGGCGCCTCCCTCAGCAAATCAACACAGGACACAAACCTGGTCCAGTTTGTTGTCTTCTTCGACATGTACCTCCCGGGCAGGAGAAGTGAAATCAGTCTCTTGAAGAAAGAAGAAATATGTAGATTTGCCATCATGTGCTGCTTACACTGAAGGATGGGTGAACAAATGGACAGAGAACGTGTTGCTCTAAAAGCTGCTGAGTTTTTCTTGACTCTCTGAAATCTGTTTTTACTCTTTAAGTCTTTGTGCTGTCACACTGGGCAGTAATCAGGATTATATTTGAATGGTATTTTAATGGTATTTTAGCTGGATAAAGCTGCCCACCATCTAAAGACACAAATGCATGGAGTGTGGGACATGGAGGCATTTCCTCTATGTCCATCATCCCTCTTCCCCTCCTGGCTCCATCCTTCCACGCACTGGGGCAGCTGCAAGTGATTGTTACTAAGGAAACTTGCTTCAAAACCACTAACAGCAACATCAGCTACATGTAGACATGTTACTATTTTCAAAGAAATCTGGTTGCTAATTAAAGTAGTGTCAGAATTTCCTGGCTGGAAGGTCGTTTTATGAAATTCCAGAGGCTGGTCAAAGGTTGAGCTGTACCTGGCATGTTTTCAGAGGCAGGGAAAATAAGGGATCTGCCTGCCTGGAGACAAGTGTGAGCATCAAGTTTGGTGTTTCACCTCCTTTCTCCATGAAAAGGAAAAAAAATTGTCCGAAGTGGCTGGGAGCATAGAGGTTTTTATTCATCTGACTGATAATGGGAGCTAAATAAAGGCTTTGGAAAAAAAAAAACCCCAACCATTTCCCTTGCAGTATTGGTTGGGCAGAGCTGTACTGGAGCTAAACATGGAATGAAAAGTCTGTCTCTTTTCTGCCAGCTCTATTTTTAGAGCTACCGCTCCATCTTTGCATCTGAGTTTTCTCAGCAGATGCGCTGGAAACAGGCAATTTGCTGTTATTTCTTTCTGGCCAGGCTGTGATACTCTGCCAGATAAGGATGTTGGATGGAGGGGCAGGGGACTCGCCAGACTGGACAGAAATTCCCCTGAATACCAGGACATGGGTCTTGTTCCAGGTTTGGGGTCACTGTGGTCACAGACTCCTGAATATTTTCTGTGCTCCATTAAGCATGACCCTTCCATGCTGGAAGGGGAGTGGTTCTGCAGTGTTTGGCTTATTTGTGTCCCAAGATTGCGGTCACAACTGGAATAAAATTCAGCAGCAGCAACAGCAGTGCTACAGATGGATTTGGGTATGGGGAAAGGATTTGTGTTTGGCTTTGAGAGCAAATATCTGCCCTGTCTTCCAGCTGAGGTATTGCAGATGATCCAGACATATCCAGCAAGAAGGTTCTTGTGTTTTTCTGTGAAAAGCAGGAATAGAAGATAAAAGGAGTGCTACCCTGGTTGTGCCCACCTGACCGTTCCAGAGGGGCTGGGACTGGCCTTTCAGGGAGCTCCCAGCAAGCATGGACACAGTTTTATCTGCAGTGCCCAGTGTGTGTTTTGTGTGTCCCATGACTCAAAATGCACACTCCATCTCCTCCTGTCAGCCAGAGAGGGCTCAGAGGGGTCAGGAGCCTGTGGCTGCCCTACCCTGCCCCAGGGCCATTTACACCAGAGCTTGCAACCAGCAGCACTGAGGTTTTCTTCTGGCTGTTTTCACTTTGTGAATCACTGAGCCCGAGGCTTGGTTTTGTGTCAGATTTCACTGTTTGGGCAAAAGCTGCACCAATTTGCCTTCGTGGTAATCCATGCTCTCAGGAGGGGAGGGGACTTCTGAGAACCAGAAGCATACGAGGAGTTGGACTCCAGGACATTTCATTAGGAACACTTTGTTTCAGTATAAAGCTGAACAAAGAGGAGGACCCTCTAGAAATTCCATGGGATTTACTGGCAATAAATTCATTACTGGCTTTGCAAAACGAAAGGCAGAAGAGAGCAATGCGCCTCACATTTCTAAATTTGTGTTTGTGGTTGCTGTTCATTCAGAGCAGAGAATCCCCTATGCCTGAGGCCAGAACATGTTCAGGTATTTTTGAGCCACAGGGAATTTTGTCCAGCTACAGGCAGTGCTAGATTCCAGCAGGAGAATTAATTTATTCCCTGCAGAATAAAGCTGGAGGAGGGTTTAGAGTAGAGGGAAGGTGTAACATAGGCTGGTGTTCAGCGCTGTTCCCATGCCAAGAGGCAGATGCTGAGCTGTGAGAACTGGTCCTGCAGAGAAAGCTGCCTGAGCTGAAGCCTCTTGGGCTTCGCTATCAAATAACAGCTCTGCTGAGAGGGTAAGCAGGCAGAAAAAACTGCTCCTCAAAAAAAGCATGATCTTCCATGCCTTGACACCATGTATGTTGCAGAGGGGAGCTAGGACAGCATGGAGGTCTGTTTTCCCTCAGCTTTTGAAAAGAATGCCTGTTTCCCCCTTGGCTGGGCTTGAAAGTCTTCTGGCAGCAGAGAACTGAGCTGGTGACTGCTTTGGTTTCTTTATCTGGATGGCACCAATCCTTAGCAGTGCAAACCCTGAGAGTGGTGACAAATCCCACCCTCCTGCCCATTCCCAGCTGGAGAACAGCCTCTGACCTGCTGTGCTTGATGTTTGTGTGGATTTCCCAGCTGGATCTGGTTCACTCCTCCCTGAGCATCTCTCTCAAGCCCCCTTAGTCTACACCCAGGTGTGTGTTCAGGTGTTACCAGCCTGCAGTAGGAACCAGACCAATCCCCCTGGTAAGTGAAGGAGTGGCTGCCCCAGAGCCAGAGGAGCCTTTGGGAGTGTCCTGAGGAGGTTTTTGCCTGAATGTCCTGCTGAGGGGGGAACTGAGCTGATGCCAGTCCTCAGGGCTGCCCACATCCCCTTGCTCCATATCTACACACCAGCACCTGCACCCCTTGTCTGACTGACCCCAGCAAGATCTGTGCTTTTTGGATGGCTTAGTAGGTTTAAATACCTCTTTTTGTTGCTTCTGCTCTTGGCCAGTGTGTGGATTGTCAGGGCTGTTTTGGAGGCAGTTATTATTAATGTATGTCCTGTGGCTCAGCGATGCATGTGGCCGGGGCAGGGCTGAGGTCCTGGCTGCTGTTCTGGCTCTCCTGCATGGCTGAGATGGGCACGGAGCCGTCCTTCTCCCTTTGCAGAAATGTCCCTCTGGACACTTGTCACTCTTCAGGGGGTTGTATGCTCATTCAGCCCCAGCTCTGCTTGAGCAGGGACTCCTGAGCTATAAATCTCTGCCTTGCAAGCACTAAACTCCCTTTTGGGTTGTTTTTGACATTAGGAATTTCCTCTGATAAGAGAACTTTATTTGCCTTTAAATATCACTTTGTGACAGGATGATGGAGTGGGGATTCTTGGAGCGAGCCTGTGCCAGCCAGGGAAGGGAAATTCTGCTGGGGCTTTTGTTTCTCTCTAGCACTGACATTGTAGCTCTTTAAAGACTGGGTTTATTTTATACTTGGCAGGAGTGTGTGTGCACATGTCAGTGTCCAGACAAATGTGAGCAGCCCGGTGTTGGAGCTGTGCTGGAGCCAAGTGGGTCTCCTGCTCTCCTCTCCTTGTGGCACCTGGGGAAGAGGAGCTGTGCTGAGCTTTTTCTGGAACAGGCTTCAAAACACAGGTTGTGTTGGTGAAGCATGCTGGTATGTGGAATGCCTTAAAAAAACAAAGAGGATTTTGTGGTACCGTGTGCAAGGTGCAGTTGGATGTTCCCTGGCTTGCAGGACAGTGCATCACCTGTTACCCAAGAACAGCCCAAAAGCCAGGTCCCCAGGACAGCATTGTAGCTGGTTTGTAATGCAGCCTGCTCAGGCTAAGCACAACCTGAGTTCAGCCTGTAGCCACAAAGTCTGAGCTGTGTTTGCATTCAGTGGGAGCTGAGCTCCCTAATCTGCCTCTCTGCAGCAGCTGTGTCATATCTCCATCCCTTTAGATACGGAGGATTTCGCTCCACAGGCTGCTTGTGAGCAGCAGGGGCTGCAAAGTGCCAGCTCATTTATTCCACTTGGATCCTGTGAAGTTCTCTCTGCTTTTCAGGATGCCTCAAACAGCCAACTAACTCTGTGTTCCTTTCTTTCAGCTTTTCCACGTAGCGTATGTCCTGATCAAGTTTGCCAATTCCCCTCGTCCTGACCTCTGGGTGTTGGAGCGATCAACTGATTTTGGCCTCACCTACGAGCCCTGGCAGTATTTTGCCTGTGAGTATGACAGGGGGCTGCAGCTCAGTGCCAGGTACCTTGGCTGTGGTGAAGATAACTGTGCAAATACAGGGTTGGGTTTGGAGCTGTTCCTGTCTCATTGCTGTGATGCAGCACATGGCTTCTGTTTTATCTGCTCAGTAAGGCTGCAAGAGTTGAAGGTTAAATGCTCCTCAGGACAGGAGAATGCTCTCTGGTACTGAATGTATTTTTTAGAACAATCATGACCTCTATGGGGATGCTAAACAACAGTTTCCACACTTGGGTGTTGTTGGTCTAGGTCTGAAGGTGATATTTCTTATCATCTCCTCCCTGCCCTCTTCTTTCTGTCTCTTCCCTGTACCATCCTAGGCTGTATTTAGCTCCTCCAGAAGCCAAGCAGCAGCTCCAAGTGGCTGCTATCACAGAAAAGTCTGGATGCAGAAAACATTCCCATGTGCTTATCAGCACCGGAGATTGGATCCAGCCTGCGCAGGGCAGGGAACCGCTGTCCTGCTGCTGTGCAAGGTGGGATCAGAGACAGCTGGCTGGAAAGGAGATCCAGTCTGTGCATTTGGCTTCCCAGTTCTCTGATTAAAACCTTAAGAAGCAGCTGGTTCTACAAAACTCTTTTCCCAGAGGGTGTGTGGGGTAGCCGGATACCGAGGAACTTGTTAACCACCAGCTCCTCCCAGAAACAGCAGCAGTAATTGGGAGAAGATGTGAGTTAAGATCTACAGCCAGAGCTTAAAACCTGGCAAGAAAGGACTTGGGAGCACTCAGAGCCTTGCCCTGGGCTGTCCCTAAAGGCTCGTATTTCTGGCTTACCTGTCAGGCTGTGCTTTGGATTTCTGGCCTGTTCTTGTGCAAGAAAGAGCTGCAGACACATTAGCATGGCATTGCCTTAGCGTGGTAGCTCCTCTCTGGGGCAGATGTTTTTCTCTCTGCTGTGTGCTAGTAGGGAGTTACTGCTGTCAGATTCCTGCTTTGCTTTTTTCTGTCTTTGAGAATTTCTCTGCCAGCTCTGAAGCCTCTCTTGGGGCCCATTACTATTGTGTTCCTGCGTGGTCTGGAGCTGCACAGGGAGCTCTGGCCCCCACTGGCATGTTCCTGTGTGCAGTGGCATTGCTGCAACATCTGGAGTCCCTTCCCAAAGCATCAGGCCCTGTTACCACTCCCCTGGAGAAGTGACATGGAGTGACACAGCACAGTGGAAAATTCCCATGGAAATAAAGAGGTGGCTGCTCCAAAACCTGCCAGATTTGTGAGCACAAGAAGTTCTCTGCGGAGGTTTATTCTTATCGCGGGGAATTCTGTAGGTGGTCTAATAAAACACTGCCAGGGTTACCGGGGTCAGAAGCAGCTGGCAGAAATGCAGGGTTTCTGCAGAGCTGCCGGTGAGCCTTGCCAGGGGTGACACAGTGGCACTGTCCCTCGAGCTGCTCATCACAGGAGGTGCCAAGGTGCTTTTGGGCTTAGCTCTGTGGGAGGAGGGAGAAGTGACTGCTGGGTGAGGTTCTGTCCATGTCTGTTTCCTTAAAGCACTGCTAGAGTTTAAGGCCAATGGGTTATTCTGTTTTAGCTCAGAATGCCCAGCTTCTGGCTCACATGGTTTTGCAGATTTTGCAGTAACTGGAGGAGTTCTTTGGTTTTCCTGAGTAGCTCCTTGGGCTGAGCATCCTGTCTCCATGCAGCTGTGGCAGTGCTCTGCAAATCAATCATCTCAAGCCAGTGGTGACAGGTTCTTTGCCTGGGGCTTTAAAAATAAATTGCTTTTAAAAAAGCACCTGATGAAGCAAACCTTGGCGGCCAGAGACCTTATGTTAAATATTTCCACATCTTCCTGTGGATGCAACTGAGCTCTTGCTGTTGCCAAAACAGTGTTTCCTGGAGCAAGGCCACATTCTGGAGACAAGGTGTGGATGGGTGCAAGCCAGAGGTGAAGACAGGGAGGCAGAAATTCTCAGCTCCCCCTTTGCTGTTCATTCTGCTCTACTCAGCCTACCCATGCAGCACATGGAGTGGGGAACCTGCCTTCTGGAGGCACACTGAGACAGATTTTGGAGGATTATTCCTGTGAATTGGCTTAACATTTCCCCTTCAGTTTCCTGTGTGAGCTGAGAAGCGCTGGCAGAAACAGGAGATTGTGTTGGCTGCCTTTTCTTCCTTTTTCTCCCCATGGAAATACCCTCAGGAACACTGCAGTGACATTCACTTCCGCATGCTCTGCTGTGAGCTCCTGGCACAGGTGAAAAGAGAGTGGAAAGCTTTGTCCAGGCTCTTCCTGAGGGAACAGTCCCTGAGAGTGGCACTGTGTAGGGTTTTGCATGGGTAGATGTAGGTAGGTGTTCACCACCCTGCACACTCAGGCCCTGAGCTGCCCCAGAAGTGGTTTGGTTGGCTCTGCCAGCACAGGAATGTCACACATCCTGGGGACAAGGGTGCTGGACTTGCAGGAGCAGTCATACTGGGAAGCCAGGCCATTCCTGTAGCTGCAAGGAAAGTCTTGGCATTCAGTGTCCCCAAAGCAGGTCACCCAGCCAGCATAGTGGCTGCCTGGCAGTGCCTGGTCCCTGACTTTATCCAGCCTTGCATTGCCACTTAGTGGCAGGAGCCCTCGTTTGCTGTCCCCAAGGTTCTTGGTGGCTTTGGCATTCCTGGTTTGTGGCATTGGTTTAAGAGCAGAGTTCAGAGTAAGGTGTGAGGAGAGGACCTGCAGTATTTGGGAGAGGCAGAGCAATGGCTTACAGGATGTCTGCTTGTCCACCCTGCCTGGTGGGAGATGTCCCTGGAGTGACTGTGGCTTGTGGTTGCTCCTGTTGTGGGTTCTGTGCTGGCTTCAGGACTGACCCAGGAAGTTTGGGGACCACACGAAATGATGGTGCAGCTAGCTCCCACATCAGGAGCAGAGCCCTGGCAGCAAAGAGCCCTTCTGCAGTTCAGTGCAAGCAGAGTAGCAAATCCACTGCCAGCAAGACAACAGATTGAGAGCAGAGTTAGATCTCAGGCTGGTTAAATGTGAGCTTAATTCCAAAGTTATGGGCTGGGTTTCTCTGCAGCTGGTGGCAGTAGGTACTGTGGCTATTCTGACCTTCCTCATTTACTGCAGGGGTGTGATTTGTGTGGTTTTCTGCCTATTACTGTTAGAGTGACACCCTCCCTTAGTGGAGGACATGTATTTAGCCATGACAGAGTTAATGATACAAAGCAATCTCTATGTGGTAAATGCTTAACAAAGATTGTACACCCCTCTCTCCTGTGGTCAGCATGGGAAAATCCCTAGAGGGCTGGGAAATGTTCCTTTTCTCTGACTGCTCTCATCTCTGGTTGATGAACAGCTTCCAAGAGGGACTGCATTGAGAAGTTTGGCCAGCACACTGTGGATCGGGTCACCAGGGATGACCATGCCATCTGCACCACCGAATACTCCCGGATTGTGCCTTTGGAAAATGGAGAGGTGAGCAGCTGCCTGTTTTCACCCCCTGGGCTTTCCAGGGTTACTCTGAGGCTGTTGGTACTCCTTTTAATAGGCTCCCTCTCGATTGTCAGGTACCACTTATTCAGTATTCAGTTAAACCAAATGAGATTGACAGAGAACTGATCCAGTCATCTGGATGACTGGTTTCATTTGAGGGAGGGATTAATTTCCTCCCACCCCACAGGATTACACAGTTTTGTTCTCACAGATTCACAGAATGGTGTGGGTTGGAACCACCCAGTTCCAGCTTGCTGCCATGAGCAGATACACCTTCCACCAGAGCAGGTTGCTCAGTGCCCAATCCATCCTGGCCTTTTCCCTCCTCCCATTCACAGATTGTGGTCTCTCTGGTAAACGGGCGCCCAGGAGCCATGAACTTCTCCTACTCTCCTCTCCTGCGGAATTTCACCAAAGCCACCAACATCCGACTGCGCTTCCTGCAGACGAACACTCTGCTGGGACACCTGATGGGCAAAGCTCTGAGGGACCCTACGGTCACAAGGAGGGTAAGGCAGGCCTTGATACCTCCTGCTGGTGAGGTGGAACTGTTTGAGGGCTGTGGAAGCCACCTCTGGGGGGAGGACACCCTGGGTGGATTGCCTGTGGGGATTTTTTCCTGTCTTGCAGCCCCTAAAGCTGAAGGCATCTGCAGCAGATGCTGTTGTGGCTGGAGCTGGAGGCTGCTTGGGAAGACACCGACAATTTGAAACTGGGAGATGCCTCTTGGTGTCACATGTGGCTTTCTGGCTGTGCTGGGAGCCCCCCACTCATAGCTAATGGGCTCTGTTAGAGGTGCTGGATCTTACCACAGGCAGATACTGCAGCCTACAATGTAAGGGAAATATCCCAACACATGATTTTACTGGATAAAGTCCTGCTGACTGTTGAGTAGAATGGTTATGAATCTGATTTGTAAAAATAGTAATGACCAGCTTTTCTTGTGCTTTCCAGTATTACTACAGCATCAAGGATATCAGCATTGGAGGGCGCTGTGTCTGCCACGGCCACGCCGACGTCTGCGATGCCAAAGACCCCAACGACCCTTACAGGTACCTTTTGCAAAATCCCAGTTCTGTGTGAAAGCATTTGAATTACTATTCCAAGAATGAAAGGTGATACCAGTGTTAGTTGTGTCCTGCCCTGAGTGTGTAATGGTGGCATCACTGCTGTTGGTGTCTCTGCCTTGAGAAAGAAGCAGAAACTGTTCCAAGCAAAGTAGCAGAAAATCATGCATTTTGTTGGACTATTTCTCAGCCAGATCAGCTCTCTGGTTGAGTTTCCCTTTCTCTGGTTGGGTTTCCCTGTCCACAGCTTTGCCATCCCACTGGAGCAGAGTGTGAAAATCAGAAGGTGGGATGCTGATGTAGAACAGGGAGGTTTCCCATCAAAGTCCTGGGATAGTTCCTGAACTTATGCAGAGAAATCTCTTGCTTCCCATGTGGCTTTTTAAGCACTGGGACAGGGCTCTCATAAAGAGATGATCTCTGATGAAAGCAAAGACTGCTTCCCATTTCTACTTATAAGAACCATAGATTGGTTATGTACATATCTGAACAACTCTTTGCAAAAGAACAAATGTGTAAAGAGGTTACATTTTGGCTAATGCAACTTCCCATCTGCCCTGGCAACTTGGAATGCCAAAGAGCTGCTTCAGACCATGGAAGTGTTGCTTTTAGCCATCTGTTTGCAGCTTGAACGTTGCCTTTATGAAAGGGATGGTAGATTCAGCTGGATGAGGGAAGCTTGTATTTCTTTCTCATCAGGATCATGTAGAATTTTTGGATTGTCTAAAATAAAATTCCAGTGAGTCTCAGCCAAGGTTAAAGCTGTTAAGTATTAAAACAAAGATGTATTGGTAAGCAAGCCTGCCTGAGTGTGCCAAACTCTCTGACAAAAGGAAGTTCATAAGTATTTGAATGTACAGTTTCTTGTTTTTTAAGACATTGGTGTTACTGGATGCAAAGTGCACCTGTGTGCTGGGGAAAAAGGTTTCATGGGGACAAGTGAGTCTTTAACATGGAAATGCCAGGACTTTTCTTGGGTGTGCCAATGGTTGGGGCTCTCTAAGGAGGGAGGGAAGGTTGAGCAAGGGTTGAGAACATTGGATGTCCTTTTTCAGTGCCACTTCTGCTGGCAACCATCTCTGTCTCCCGAAATTCCTCTCCTCCACTCTCATTTGGATGCATTTGATATCTTCATTCTTGGCCCCAGCCAAGATGTTGCAGCACATGTTGGTAAGCAGCTGTTGCATTTCACCCAGAGCAGATCACGCTGGCCTGAGGGAGAAAACATTTCCTACTTGTGTATTTTGTACAGTCAGAACAAAACAGCTGTAGGTCCTTTGGGATACAGCAGGAAAAGGTGCTGGATAAACAGTTCTTCTCATGGCACTGCTGTACCCTGTAGCAAGCCCAGGAGCAGAGGCAAGTCAGCAGAAATCTGATACTTTCAGTTGAGAAAGTGAAGTGGGCACTGCTGGGCAGGATCCCAGCCCTCCTGCCCTGACACAGCACAGGGGCAGCTTGGGGATATCTGTAATGCCACATCAGCTGGGGCTCAGACACACTGTTCCCTTGAGACAGGCTCAGCTACCAGAAGCTTGTCATGTCTTTAGCAATCTGTGTGGTGTGCCCTCTGCACCTGTCCTGCCTCTTGAGAATCTGATGTGTGGCAGCAGCTGGGCAAGGAAATGCAAATGAAGGGATGTGGATTGGCATGGCCCTATAAAAACCCCACAATCTCAGTTTGTTGTGGGGGGTCTCTGCTGCTCATTTTAGCTTCTTTATTCTGCACATCCCCACATTTCTTGTGCCTGCTGCTCAGAAAGGCAGGATGAGCACTTTGATAGAGCTGAGGTGAGCTAGAACTCTTGGCAAAGACTTCAGGATGTGATGAAGCATGTCCATGAGCTGACTTCCTGGCCAGAAGTGATAATACTCATGCAACTTTGGAAGGTTGGTGTGAAGTGTTAAGCTACAGAGGCTGCACATCCAGCTGTGTTGAGCTGGCAGCACATCTGGGCTCCGTGCGAGTATTTGCAGCCACCTCAAGGCTCTCTGCACTTCTCACAGCTTTCTCTCTTTGCCCTAAATTGGAATGGGCTGAATTAAGCAGAGGGAAGGGATGTTCTCCTGGTTAAAGATGAGCACCAGCAGGTTGGGGCACAGCCCTTTCTCCTGGCAAACCCTTGGAGCAGTGAGATAAGAGTCGTCAGGAACCTGGCTTGGAGAACCCAGACGAGGCATGCTAACAGGCTGAGTGAGCTCAGGAGAGCCCTGCAAGGGTTCTGCATCTGTCTGAGAAGAGCAACTGTTTCTGTGGCTTCAGTGCCCTGTCACAGACACCACAGGTGAGAGGGGAGACAGCCAGAGAGTCCAGCTGCTCCTTTTGTGCCTGATGCTGAAGATAACCACCAAGACAGCAGCAGCCTGGCTGGTCAGAAGCACATCCACAGATGAAGGATCCTTTCCCACTGCTGGATCCTGGACTCCAGTTTCCCCTTTCCCATTTGGAAGGGAAAACACCATGTGTGCCGGTAGATTTGTGCCATCTGTCAGTCTCTCTTTGCAGGTGTTTTTTTCTCCATACAGTCAGAAACAAAGGAAGGGGCTTTTTTTTTTTCCTGATTGTGCTCCTCAGATGTCCCAGCCAAATCCAGATGCTGTAGTGTTTGTGTTCTGCTCTCCATTCTGCCACAGCTGCTCGCTGGAAACTGTTTAGTCTCTGCTGTTGAGCATCAATTCCAGTGGGAAGACTGCGGTTTCATTTCTTACAGCAGAATGACCAGGAAATATGTGCTATGTGAACACAGCCGCTCCCTCTTCTTCCTTGTATATACTCAATCAATGAAACATGTAAATATTGTGGTTTATACACATTTGTCTGTAATTCATTAGCAGCACGGACTCGGCACAAGGTGCGGTAAAGCCGTGATAGATGAGCTCTCTGAGAGGTCATCGTAACTCTGAGCAGCAGAGACTAAATAAATACCTCCTTCTCCATCTGAAGTGAGCATCTTTACTCATGCAGTGCCATCTTCTTGCATTCTGGGAACTGAACCAGTACTTTTCAAATATCTTGAACGTTAAAGAGCCCGGGGTGTGTGGCTGGAGCCACGTTCTCCAGTCAGGGAGATTAACACTGCTCAGCAGGTTTGTAAGTTCCCTGACTCAGTGACCATCTTTCTCCACACGTATGTATATGGATCTTAATCTTGATCTCCAGCTGCTGCCATGGAAAGAAAGGACAAAATTTTGTTTTGTTGGAAGTGGTGAGTGGTAGTCAGCCAGGTGAGAGGTCTGTGGGTGGCTGCATTCCACAGACATGGCCAAGGTTTGCCTCTCATTGAGACTCCCCCTGGGGTCTGCAAAACACCTGAAGAACAAAGTTCCTAGTGAATATTTCAGGGCTGTTTTCTGCCGCTTAAGATCCAGCCAGGGGTTCAGTTTCATGCCTGGACTCTGCCAGCCACAGCCCAGCCTGTGAATGTGGGCAAGGACGGGGCATGACGAACGCTGAGAGAACTGACTGCAGCCAAGTGTTCCATGGCATCTGCAAGGGAAGGGCTGGGAGCAGCACTGGGACCTTCTGCCTCTCAACCCCCCTGCCTGAAGCAAACATGCTGAGTGTGGATCCTGCTTGCATTCCCATTATTTTCATTAAAATGAGGTCACTTGTCCAGTGCTGCTGCCTCTGTCTAGCAACAGACTTGCAGGTCCCACATCCTAAAATTACACGTAGGTGGAAACTGTGGCACTCAGCTCAGTGTAGAGCGTCTGCACTCCCACACTTCACCCTGAATGACTGCTCCTTTTGTTTCTAACGTTTTAGAAAAAACTACATTTATTTTTAAACACCCTGCTTTTGAATGGAAAAGCATTGGAGGAGGGAGAGATGGGAGTGGCAGACTGGCCCTGAGGGGAAATGAGTAATTGCACAGATAAAAGCTGGAACATGCTGTATTATCCATAAGTCTAATACAACAGAAAGCGTTTGTGTTGGATGGGAATCGCCATCCAAGTGGAGGTTTTGGGGCTGATGTCACTGACGTTAATGAATCACCCTTGCTCGGGCAGGGACGAGATCCATCGGGTGCCTGTCGAGATTCCTTGCCTGGCGCCTCTGGAGCTGTCTATTTACCCAGCACAGCCCTGCCTGGAGAGCAGGAGGTGCAGTGCACAGGGAGTGTGGGGCCAGCATCTGCTGAAGAATTCTTAATTCAAATTTCATGCCCTCCTTCCTGCAGCACAGGTGTACCTGGAGGAGCAGATAGCACCTGTGTGGCCCCTTCCTTTTTCCATTCATGCTGCCCCTGCATAGTGGTGGGGACATCTTCGTGTCCCTGCACCATGCTACACTTTCTCAAATAATCAGCTTCAGCTTGGTTTCTACCACTGCCACCTCCAACCATTTCACATTTTATTTCCTGCAGAGCAGGCTAGGCAGAGGCACACTGATTTGTCCTGTCTCCCTATGAAGACAAAAAGGAATGATGGTGGAGGAGAAGGAAGGGAGAGAATGAAGCTGGAATAGCAAAGTCTGGTGTTTGACTCAGAAAAGAAGAAATCAATTTCAAAGTTGAAAAAATCCTTAGATGCCTATTTTCCAGAGTATTGGGACTAGCAAATACCACTTGTTCATGTACCAGATCAGTGACAGTGATGCACAGCAGGGTCACACAGCAGCTCCCCATCCCACACGTCCCTGTCATCACCCCAACCTTGTCTGTGCCCCCTTGCTGTCCCTGCAGGCTGCAGTGTGACTGCCAGCACAACACCTGTGGTGGCTCCTGCGATCGCTGCTGCCCGGGCTACAACCAGTTCCCCTGGAAGCCTGCCACCGCCGACAGCGCCAACGAGTGCCAGCGTAAGTGGGAGCTGGGCTGTCTCTTCCTGCCAGGCACAGCTCGGGGCCGTGCTGCAGACAGGCTGCTCACTGGGCTGGTGGGGCTGGTGCTGTGTGCCACTGGGAGGACTCTGCACAGCAGGTGTTGATGTTCAGGTGAGGCTCACACAGGGAGGTCTCCAGGGTCCGTGTGGGACTTTGGCTCTGCTTGCATTCCAGTTCCTCCTGTGTGTCCAAGGGTTCGTGCGGGCGAGTCTCGTTGCTCAATTCCGTCTGCAAGATGAATTAGGTTTGGATGTGTTTACATGCAGGACGTCTTTATTTGTCTAGAGAAACCTTTGGTCAGTGCAGACAGTGGAATTTCTGCTGCACTGGGAGTGTAGAGAACAGAGCTGCACCACACGGTGTCTTAGAAACGCAGGGTGGCAAAGGCTCTTAATCCTGTGAGTTTGTAAAGCCGCCTCACCTGGTGCTGGATTTTACAGCTCACCTCTATTCAGGCTGGGATAAAAGAGGCAAGAATGTTGCTCTCTAAACCAGACTACTCAAAGCCCCATGGTGTGGTAATTTTTCTTTCTCGTCTGTACATGCCTGCACATATTTTACTTGTGACTTTGTGCCCACTGCGCTCTCCTGGTTGCAGACCAGATTTTGTGAAGAAGTTGCTGCTTCTGTGCTTTTGAATTGAAATACTTCAGAGACCTTGGGAGATCATGTAATCCCCCAGATGCATTCAGGCATCTTTTCTCATGGAAAAGCAACCCATCAGACCCAGGAGGGAGAGTTGACATCTTGAGGTGCAGCTGCTGACTGAAGGAGCTCTGAGGACGGGGGGTTTAGCTCCCATCTCTTTGTGTTCCAGCCTGCAATTGCAATGGCCATGCCTACGACTGCTACTACGACCCAGAGGTGGATCGACACAAAGCCAGCAGGAGTCGTGAGGACAAGTTTGAAGGGGGAGGTGTTTGTATTGACTGCCAGGTAGGCCCGAAGAGTTTCTCTGGAAAAGGCTGTTGCAAATGTTTGTGTTTGTTTCTGCCGTCAGCCTGCAGTTCAGCCTCATGGGACCTCCACCAAGCCACTCTGTTACCTTAATTAGGTCTCTGCCTGGAAATTTAGTCTCTTTGCGGTGGATTAAAGGAGTGTGAAGCAGTAATGAGAGCAGCACTTGGGTTTCTATCTGTTCCCTGGTGGTATCAGTACCTCCTAAAGCTTTAGTTTACTGAGACACCAGAACTGGGAGGGGCAGGTTGCTGCCCAGCAATGCCTGCCTAGTTCACAGTGCTCTGGCATCTCCCTGGATGTCTCTCTGCCCACCAAAATGCCAGTGTTCAGTCTCTGTGAAGGTGGGAAAGTAGCTCTTCCCTTCCCAAGGTGATGGTGACTGTGGCGTGGTTAATTCATGCACTGGCATGAAACTTCTGGCTATGCTTCCTTTTTGGGAGGAAACAGGTTGCTCCTATCCTCCAAGCACAAAGTGGTCAGGACATTTTACCATCTGAAGGAAGTGAAATGGGCTCAAGGTCAGATATGAACCTGAAACTCACCCTGTGTATAGGGGAGGATACAGTTTGCAGGAAATGTGTTGTTCCCAAGTCAGTGTATAGGAATTTTGAGCAGATTCAGATCTTCGGTGTGCTGATGCTCCTGAACTGCTTCCTCTGACCTGGACCTGTTAGCAAATCTGGCAGAAGAATGTGAATCCTGCTGGCAGAGGAGCTGATACCTTTCTAACCCACTGTCTTTCAGCATCACACCACTGGCATTAATTGTGAGAGGTGCATCCCTGGATACTATCGATCCCCTGACCACCCCATCGACTCTCCGTACATTTGCTACCGTGAGTGTGAACCCCTCAGCAGTGACATCCTGCTGGACTTGGTGACACTGGGGAGGGCGCTCTGGAGGGTTGGGCTGAGAGGTTTTCCTGCTGTAGGGAGCCTGAGGCCTCAGTCAGTGACACTGCTGCTGGCTTGTCCCTCTCTGCAGGCTGTAACTGTGAGTCTGACTTCACCGATGGCACCTGCGAGGACCTCACTGGGCGCTGCTACTGCAAACCCAACTACACCGGGGAGCACTGCGACGCCTGTGCCGAGGGCTACCTCAACTTCCCCCACTGCTACCGTAAGTGGGGCTTCACATCTGGCAGCCCACAGACCCAGCAGCTGTGGGAAGGGATGGCAGCTCCAGTTGTGGCTCTTGGGATGTCCTTTCCCTGTGCCACGTGGCATTTCTGTCCCAGGAGGAATTCTTTCAGGTGGGCATAAGTCCACATCTGGCTTGGGTGGAAGCTGCACCAGAGCTGAGCTGCTCTGAACACGGAGTCAACAGGAGAGTCCCATTTGACTGGAGTTTAATCTCTCAATTTTTAATGAAAGACAGGCTAAAAAGGGCTGTAATGGATTGTTGTTTAGTGGGACATCTGTGCTTTGTTCCATGTTCCACAATTTTATTCAGCCTGTTCAGCTTTGGGACTGTCAAGTCCTTGATACTCCATCAGGATTTCTCTGGAGTGTGTGTGATGACCTGTGCAATGTGTCTTTTTCTGCACAGCTATTCCAGCATTCTCTCACAACGATACTGGAGAACAAGTGCTTCCTGCAGGACAGATAATAAGTAAGCACTGCAATTTTCTTTGATGCTTTGGCAATGCTGTCATTTCTCTTGTACCTCCCATCCAATGCAAGAGTAGGTCTTCAGCTTACTGTGCATGTACATTGTGTGAGGCAGCCCTGAGTGGTTTTAGAAGAGTACAACCTGCAGTTGAGTTGTGGGGAAAGGAAGTTTTATGATCCCCTTTTTTTAGAAGTGGAAACTCTAGCCTAGAATGACTGTGATTTTTTCTGGGGTCCAGGCTGTGTGGGGGGATGTCCCTTGTGCCCTCCTGCGAGGAACCTTCCCCAAAGGTCGTGGAGGGGCTGTGGCTGAGCTGGGAGCTCTGCTCTAGGTGCCTCTGAAGGGTCGTGCACAGGCAGCCACTCACTCTGTGTCACTTCCTCTGTTGTTTAGAAAGCTCATCCATGCTCTCCTCCCTGCTCCCCTCCCTGCTCCCCTCCACCTCCTTCCTCTGTCCTGCTCACTCCTCTCAGTTCATCTACTCCCTTGTGCTTTATTCTGTCTCTTTTCCCACTGAATCCTCCCCTGTCTCATGCTCCCCAGCACACTCCAGATAACCTTTTCCTTCCTTCTGATATTTTGAAGTCTGTATCTCCCAGACAGGTTTTTGCTTTCCTGAGCTGGAATTTCTCACTTCCCTTCTCATTTCCCCACCTTCCCCTCCCTCTGCTTTTTGGGTGATGTTTGTCCTTCCCTCTCCCAGCCCAGCACCCCACACCACTGCTGTTGGTGACAGCAGGGCTGGCTCAGAGCCTTGGCACTGCCTGCTTGGAACACCCTGCCCTGGAAGTGGGAAGGTCTCGGGTGCAGCTGAGCATGGAGTGACCAGAGAGAAAGCCCAAAGTTCACCCTGGTTAGCTGAAGGCTTTGATTATTCCCACACTAGACTGAAGCAGCTCTGCCTGGGCTTGTAGAAGCAGCATTTGCCTGCCCTGTGCATTGCCCTGCTGCCCACCCTGCACCTTCACAGCAGCGTGTGCCGAGTACACCCAGCCACCCACGAGCCAGGCGTAGTTCAGTTAAAACATTTTCATCTGCCAGGAGGGTTATGGGAGCAAATGCTTGAGCATTTGAGATGCCTCATGGCAGCTCCTGCCGTGTCCTTGTGGGACCTGAGAGCTGGAGTGACAGCCGTGTGTGGTGTCGCCTGTTGTGTGTCCCCATCCAGACTGCGATTGCTACGCGGGTGGGACAGAAGGCAACGCCTGTCGGAAGGACCCTCGGCTGGGGATGTGCGTGTGCAAACCCAACTTCCAGGGAGCACACTGCGACCAGTGTGCCCCAGGCCACTACGGACCCAGCTGCCAGCGTGAGTATGGGCAGGCAGCGTCCCCAGGCTCGCCCTGCTGGGCTTCTCCTTGTTCTCTCCTCATGCTGGGGAGGAGGAATTCCACAGCTCCACTTCCAAGTGACAAATTCCCATGACTTCTGCACTTTTGCTGTTGTTCTCCATCTGACCCTCCAGCATCCTCCCAAGCTATGTGGGGTTCTTGAGGAACGAGCTATAGGCCAAGCGTGCTTGTTGTCAGCTCTGTTCCCCCTGCTTTCTCCAGCAACTGCTCTTCTACCCCAGAGGAACAGATGCTCTGGTTCCTTTCCTGGTAAGGCTCAAGACAAAAAATCTGCTTATTTACTAATGCCCTTGTTGCTTTGCAGCCTGCCAATGCTCCAGCCCTGGTCAGTATGATGGCACCTGTGACAGCGAGACAGGGCAGTGTCTGTGCCGGACAGGATTTGAAGGGCACTCGTGTGACCAGTGTGCTCCAGGCTACTTCAACTACCCTCTGTGCCAGTGTGAGTATCTGTCCTTCACGTGCCTGGGGGGGACACACACAGCCAGAGTCCTCTGGCAGGGGGCTGAGGGACTGGAAAGTGGTTTTATGGTTGTTTTGGAGAATATGTGCCATGGGCAGAGACTGATGGTTTGAACGCTTAGAGCAGCACCTCGTGCCTATCTGAGGACCCCAGGAAAGTGCCATTTTGCCATGAGCTGTGCCCCATGCTCCCAGCTGAGGTGGTCTGTGTGTGTTGCAGTGTGCAGCTGCAGCGCGGTCGGGACGCTGCCGGGAGGCTGTGACTCCGCCGGGAATTGTGTCTGCAGAGCCGAGTTTGCTGGGCCACGGTGTGAGCGCTGCAGCCCTGGGCACCACTCCTACCCCCACTGCTACGGTAAGCACCTGAACTCCAGCTCCTGCTGCTCTAAAAAACATACCTGTTCTTGAAAAGCATTGGTGTTTCTCAATATCAAATCCATGTGGTTTGCACTGTGAATTGGGCAGGCTTGTTTTGGAGGTCGTGGATCATAGCAAAGCCTGAAAGACAGAACAGTTTTTTATCAGTCACACTTCCTCATCACAGCCCTGCTGTGACCTGGTGTCTCAGTTTATGTCTTTTTTGTGTGTCACTGTAGTGCATTAACCTACTAAACTACTGGGGAGCATTGAATGGGCTGTAAGAACCCCTCAGTGGCATTTTCCTGGTACGGCTATGAAAATACTGCATGATTTGCCAAGGGATTAAGTAATTAATTTCTTTCCTGGTGGAAGAGTCTCATTCCTGGGGGGCTGAATGATGGTTCAGAGCAGTAGTACTTGGCCACAGATCACAGGGATCATCAGAGTCCTGCTCTTACAGCTTGCTCCTGCGATTCCCGGGGTGCAGTGGACAACAACTGCAGCCCAGTGGGGCAGTGCCGATGCCACGGGAATTTTGCGGGACACACCTGCAGCCAGTGTGCCCTGGGCTTCTACGGATACCCCAGCTGCACACGTGAGTAACACCTTACTGCTCTCTACCACCACCTGAGAGGAGGCTGTAGCCAGACCAAGGTTGGTCTCTTCTACCAAGTAACAAGAGGAGATGGCCCCAAGTTTCACCCTGGCAGGTTTAGGTTGGGTATTAGGAAAAATTTCTTCACCAAAACAGTTGTCAAGCATTGGCACAGGCTGCCCAGGGCAGTGGTGGAGTCACCATTGTTGGGGGGATTTAAAAACCATGTAGATGTGGCACTTGGGGACAGGGTTTAGTGCTGAGGGAACAGCTGGATGATGATCTTAGAGGTCTTTTCCAGCCATAATGATTCTCTGACCCTATCCATTTCCCTGGGCACTGCATCACTCCTGGACTACTGCTGCTGGTGCCAGGGCTGAGCAATGCCTGTGGCAGGTGCCTGCAGCCCCAGCTCCTCTGGCCAGCCCTCCCCAGCTCTGGGCAGTGTCCTCATCTCCCTCCCTGTCAGCAGTCCCGACTGGAAGCCAGATGGACTCCTATGTCTCCCAGCAAGAATTTACTGCTCATTAAAAAGTAATCCGTGATAGAATTTCCCTGAAGCAACAAAAGAGCATCATCACTCTCTTGCACAGTACTAAATGTGGACTCCTGAGCCATGCCAGCTGGCAGAACACTCCTCCCAAATGTTGATGACGGCAATATGCCTTTGAAGAGGCTGGAGGCAGAGATGAAATGGTCTCACAGGAGTTCAGTGGTCACTTTTTATGGCTCATAAAGCCATAGCCACATTGCAGACCTGTAGAAGACCCACAGCAAGGAAAGAAAAGAACCACCTGATTTTTGTATTTTTTTAAAATCTGTTGTTTCCTGAGCAGTCTTTTGCTGTTAGCCAGTGTGGGGGTGTCAGCCTAGAATGTCTCCTCTGGCAGGGATTTGAGGTGTGCTGGCTGGGGAAGGAAGGCATGGGCAGCTCCCTGGCAGCTTGCTGACCTTTCCTGTGATAGGACAGTGGGATCTCTGTGGGGAGCAGGTCGTGCAGAAGCTGTGGAACCATTGCCCTGCCCTCACCCCACTGCCCACATCCGCAGGGCAGACCCTGATGACCAAAGGCTGCTCTTGAGTCTTTGTAGGGTCTGATATTTTACTGACTTTTGGAGGATGAGATCACACCCCTTCTCCTCAAGCAAAACTCTTCCCGGCCTCTGAAATACACATCAGTGTATGTGAACGGGTGTGATAAACATTGAGACTTCTATTGTTTTCCTTAAACGATGGAGTGGTTTTAACCAAAAGCAAAGAATGAAAATTCTGTTTATAATCCACATGTCTGGCTGCTTTTGGTGAAGGTCAGGCAGACAAAAGAGGCTGATGCTGGGAAGCCCTGAATGCCACTCCAGCAGTTCTCTGCCCTCTCTTGCAGCTTGCCAGTGCTCCCAGGAAGGGTCCTTGCACGGCACCTGTGACCAGGACACGGGGCAGTGCAGCTGCCGGCCCAAGGTGACAGGACTGCGCTGTGACAGCTGCGTGCCTGGCGCCTACGGGTTCCCCCACTGCGAAGGTAGCCCCTTTTCCCTGATCTCTTGGACGCTCCAGTCCCTTGGGTGCTGGTAAATGTGTTTATTGTTCCCCGAAAGTTCTGCAAGGGGAGAAATAACCTCAGTTAGGGACACCCAAGGGGTGAGCTAATGCTATAAATCCGTTCTTTTACCCCTCTTTTCTAGTGGGCTCCTGTAACCCAGCAGGGTTGGAGACTGCAGATCCCTCGCTGGCCTCAGTGAGTATCAAATGAACCTACCACAACCCCTGCAGGTCATTTTGCATGTTCCACTTTATTTCTTTTCAGACCAAGTCCTTCCTTAAGCTCAGCTAGAGCAGCAGACCCCATGTTCAACCACTGTTGAGGATTTGCTTGTGATTTGTGAGCAAATTCTCACCTGCTCCTTTCTCCCCCTGCCTTTCCCCAGGGCTCCTGTGCATGTCGGGCATACGTTGAAGGCCCAGCTTGTGACAGATGCAAGCCTGGATACTGGAACCTGACTCCAGAGAACCCCTACGGCTGCCTGAGTAAGGAAATGGCATTTTCACAGCCCACAAAAGTCCCCTCCGTGGTGCAAGAGCCAAACACAAGCCAGTGAGCACAATCACTGGAGGACTGGAAGTGATGGCCTTCCTTCCACCTTCACCCAGAAGTGATGTGTGAAAGCTGGAGTCCTCTGGGTAACCCTCACATGGAAAGGGGAAAGCCTGGAGCCTGGAGCTTTTTGCTTGGGATGAAACATAGGGCTCATGCAATGACTTTTGCCATTCTCAGCCCTCCCTGCAGATACTTAATTTTTTTAGAATATGCAGGAAAGGCAAATGTCTGTGATAGCTGTGTCTTCAACAGTAGCTGTCCAAGATGAAATCTGAGCCCTTGTGCAGGACTGCCTTCTACTTGACCAGTTCCTGGCTCCTGTTACCCCAGCCAGTGTCCTCTGGTGTGGTGGGTGCTGTCCCCATCAGTCTGATTGACCTTCTGGTTTTCTTGTTCATCTCCCTCAGGCTGCAGGTGTGACACCAAGGGCACCATCAGCGGAGTCACGGAGTGCCGGCAGGTGGGTTTGTTCCTCTGCTTCCAGGCTCCTCTGAGTGTGCTGTGTTGGGAGTGTTCAGCTCTGTCTCTCCAGCAGCTGCTGGAGAGGTCCCAGCACTGAGTTCTCAGCACTTGCACCGCAGTCTGGGCTTGCATGGGAATGTGGGATTAAGACCTGTCATAAATTAGACACCTAAATATTTCTGTGTCTGTCCCAGGATGCCTGGATTTTTGTTTGCCTGCATTGTTGGGTAATTTAAGTTATCTGGCCTTATCTGGCCCACCCACGCGCAGGAAGCCATGTGGAGCATGAATCTCAGTCTGCTGCTTCTGCAGTGTCTCAGAGCAGAGCCCAAATAACTGAGGAACAGCTTAGGCATGACAAGCAACAGGAGGGAATGAGTTTCCATGCCTGTTTCTCTCCCAGGGCGATGGGCAGTGCTTCTGCAAAGCCAACGTGTGTGGGCAGTTCTGCTCAGCCTGCAAGGATGGCTACTTCAACATGGAGAACGCTAATTACTTTGGCTGCCAAGGTGAGCCCCTTCTGTGATGTGTTTGCTGAGTGAGGGGGGCCACAAGAGCTGACCCCACTGCACAGATTGACTGGTTGGTGACCTTGGAGAAAAGAGGCAATAGATGTCCCACCTTCTGTTTTGGGTCATTGTTTTTGGGATTGATGTGGTTAAGTGCTTTAATGGTTACTGTGCTAGTGCTGGGTTGATGGTTGGACTTCGATGATCTTATAAATCTCTTCCAACCTTGGTTCTGTGATTCTTTACCACAAGCCCAGAGCATGGGCTGGGAATTACTGAGGGTCTGGAGACCTGAGGACATGCTTTTCCACTGCTGGGCACAGGTCTGTCAGGCTGGAGAGCGAACAGCCAGGTAAGGTACCCCTTTGGGTACCAGAAACCGGTGTGTTTGAACTACTGGTCACATCCTTGCAGCAATGGCCCTTCCTCCTGCTGGGAGAGGGTGGGCATGGGTACGTGGGGTTGGCCACTCTCCACGATGTCCGTGGGAGGAGGTAAAGGAGGAGATGCAGCTGCTGTGAGCCATCCCACGCAGTGCTGGCCCGGCTGGTGGCAGGGCTGCAGCGCCCGGGGTGAGGGTTTGCAGACCTTGTTCCATCAGCCGCCTGGAAATAGCTCGGCGCTGAGGTGGAAGAAGAGTCAATCCAAGCGGGGCCGGGGCCAAATATGAAAACGGATACAATGGAATAAAAATAGTGGTCCCAGGCTCCCTGCCCACTGGGATGTGCCTTTGATTAGCGAGCAAGAGCTCGTTAGCACGGCGGGAATGTAAACAGGCGCTTCCTGCCCGCAGGCTGCCGCTGCGACGTCGGCGGAGCCCTGGGTCCATCCTGCGAGGAGCGGAGCGGAGCCTGTCGCTGCCGGCAGAGCACACGGGGTCCCACCTGCACCCAGTAAGCTGCTCCTTGCACTTCTGCCTCCCACCGTGTCCTCTGCCACCACGGGGATGGGGAGCTGTCACATCAGCCACATGCCTGGCAGGGATGTCCCCTCACTGCTCCCTCCGGACAGCCCAGCACCGGGTAACGCTGCTCTTTTCTCCCCAGACCAGCCCGAGACCATTATTTCCCTGACCTTCACCACTTGAAATTCGAGCTGGAGGAAGGCAGCACGCCGGCCGGCCGGGCTGTGCGCTTTGGCTACAACCCGCTGGAGTTTGAGGGCTTCAGCTGGCGAGGATACGCGCAGATGTCCTCCATCCAGGTACGCCTGGTGCCTGCAGCCCAGCTCCCCGCAGGGAGGATGTGGCTGGTGGAGGACTGATGTGCTTTTGGCACACGTCTTTCACCCCAAGTGCTCCTGAAACCCCCAAAGTCACAGGATGGCCAACATAAACAGCACAGTGTATATATAGCCTGTTTGTGCAGATATTTCCTGTAGTGCTGGGGGTGGCATAGACTGATGAGGGGAAAGATCCTAAACTGGGAATCCCATGACATCCTAATCCGTTTAGACAAAGGTGGTAGCATGGTGATTACTTACAGGGGTGTCTATAAACACTGTCTCTCAGTTTCCTTGTTCTTCTTTCAACTGACTCTGCTCTTTCCTATAACTCTACATAACCTTTCCTCTCTTTTCCAAAAATAAGTATCTCCTACTCAGCTGCTCCTCAGCTTGGACCTCTTGTTACCCTTCAGCCTTTGCCCTTGCTGTTAGCTGGTTTGCTAACAATGGTTTATGCTAACCTGGAGTTGTGTAAGTCCTAGAAGTGAAGCTGTTTCTTCTGTTGACCTGTTTTGTCTCCTTGGTGGTTTCTTCTGCATGGCCTCTGCGGAAGTGTGTGTGTGTTTGGGGATGGAGTGTAGGGCAGTGATTCTCTGACAGTCTTGTCCCATGTAAGATGCTCCTTACTCTGGTGCATGTACTTTCAGTTTTCTTTGCATTTTTGTGCTTAGGTGAAATAATGGAGGGGCTGTTTCCCACTGAATTTTAGGTAGGAGCTAAGCAGTGAACTCCTGTGGGCTCCCTTGAGAAAATCCCAGCCTTAAAGCTTAAGGATGGAGCTCAAGCTCGTAGTTCAAGTGTTGCATGCAGTATTAGTGTTTGAGCTAGAAGTAGACCTTGAGAGAAGGGCTGGCATGTGGCTTTTGGCTGGCAGGTCTTACTGTAGTTTGTTATCATCAAGCCCTTCCACTTGCCAAGCAGTGTCCAGGCAGGTGGAGGGCAGATGTGCCATCAGTTGTGTGGTCCATTAGCCCCGCTGGCTTTAGCCCTGCACATTCCTGAGGACGAGGCAGCAGCTCAGTTCCCAGCCTCTTCTGTAGGCAGTTGGGCAGAGCCCCATAAACACAAGAGCAGGAGTTTGGTACCTGGTGGCTGGTTGCAGCACACTAAACCCAAAAGCAGCACGCTGATAACAAAAGCAACAGCGTCCTATAACCATTCCTGTGTAATGGTGTGTGCCCCAGCACAGCTGAGCCACCTTGCTGTGCCACAGCACCTTCCAGGTGTGACCACAGCCTTCCCACCCCCTTCCACAGGCAGGTTGCTCCTCGGTGCAGGCCCCAAGTGTCCCCCCAAGGTGGGGATAGTGTCCCGAGGTGCTGTGAGCAGTAGGGTCCGTGTGCTTGTCTCCTCCTCGCACTGTGGCATGTTGCTTTGGGAGCAGTGAGCCGAGCGGCTGCGCTTGGGCTGGCAGTGTGGGTGGTGGAGGTAACTGAAGGTGTGCTCTGCTTCTCTCCCCTTTCTCTCTCCCACCAGCCCAAGGTAGTGGTGACTCTCAATGTGACCTCCCCCGACCTCTTCCGCCTCGTCTTCCGCTACGTCAGCCGGGGGCCCGCCAGTGTGGAAGGGAGGGTCTCGGTCGTTGAGGAAGGAAAGTTTAATGTTTGTGGCAACTGTAAGTGCATTTTTCACTTCTAGACTAACTCAGAGCATCCCACGCTGCGACACTGCTCCTCTGCCCCTTCTCCTGCCCCCAGGTGTGTCCGTCCCAAGTGTGCCCGTGTCAGGTGGCCGGCCAGAGCCGTGCCGTGGGCTGGCAAGGGAGGGGGAAGAGAGGCAGGCAGGCAGGCAGGTAGGGCAGGCGGGTCAGGCCCTCCCCAGAGTGGGTGGGTGCTCAGGAGCTGCCCCCACAGTGATGTGTGCCCCGTGTGCTCTTTTGCTTTTTGCAGAATAAAATCAGAATCACTGTAGACGTGAAGGAGGCAGAGCTCTATCTGTTCCATGTCATCCTGAGGTATATTAATTCAGGAGGGGCCACTGTGTATGGCAAAATTACAGCTTATCAGCCACGAAGGAGAGGTAAGGATCCCAGACTGCTCTGCTTCCCTGTGCCATCGCCACCTCCTCCCCATCCCAGACAGCCTTCTGCATCATCCTTTCCAGAAGACGCTTCCATATGGCTTTACCCATTAGTCCTGCTCTCCCAGTTGAAAGGCTGACTTGAGTTTGCAGCCCCCTTTAGTTACCAAAGCAGCAGCAAGGTGGGCTCAGCCCTGGGGCTGCACACTGAGGACTGATACCAGCCAGGCTGGTGGGAGATAAAGCTCTTGTACAATTCCATACAACTTTCCTGGCACAGGATGAGATCACCCCAGTGCCCCAGGCAGAACTGAGCTGACTTTCCACAAAACTAGAATGGACCAAGAGCTGGGAACTGGATCCAAACTTTGGCAGCTGGATGTGGTTTTATTTACTAGATGCCCTGACGTGGCAGTCCTGCCTTTTCCTTGTGCTTCTCCCAAAACTGGCTGCTGGCTTCACACATGGTCTGGGGCTTGGAAGTGCCGTGGAATTACACATCTTACATGGGCATTGCACTCTGGTGCAGTGTCCTCTTATCAAGCCACAAGCTGCTGGAGAAGAGCCACCAAAAGATGTCTGAACAGGCCTAGAAATCTGGACAGCAAATAACTCTGGGAAGCAATCTGAGCAAGACTACATGGGAACACACCTGAGGCCATGGTGGCAGGTTGGCTGGTTGATTTTACCCCTTTGGATGCTGCAGCCACACTGTCCTGCTGAAGCTGTTCCTCCAGACCACACATGCACAGCACAAGGCTGTCAGCACTAACTGCCTAATTTATCAGTGTGTGAAGTTCTCTCCTCTGTCTTGAATTGACATAAGTTCTGCCTTTGATGTGATATGCAAGGTTTGAAATCCCAAAATTCTATTTTTCTTCCTTCTTTTTTTTTTTTTTCTTTTTGAGAGGAAAAATGGCTTGTTTTTGTGTCCAGTCATATTACACAGCAGAAGAACAAAAAGAGCAGGAGCCATGGCCATGCTTTAGATCTCATCAAAGGTCAGGAAGTGTTTAATCTGTCCTATTCAAGCAGCAGAGCTCATTTGCCTTAAAAAGTGCTTCACTTCTTGTGCAGAAGCAATGTGATTTTTCTAGTGGTGAAGGCAAGCAGCCAAACTGGTGTATCAACAGGACCCAGGAGGGTCCCAGCCTTGGGAGGCTTCAGGAATGCTGAGCCACCTCATGTCTGGATGGAAAGGGCTTCACATGGCAAAGGACAAGCAGCCTGGAAAGAAGCTGGAAGATGTAGCTTGCAAAAGGGGAAACCTTTTCCAAGTTTGGGATTTGCAGCCTGGTTTCTTCCACTCTGCCTCCAGAAGCTATCTCAGTTGAATTGTTTATTGCATCAAAGGGATGTGAAACTTCAACCTGTCAGTAAATCTACCCTGTTGCCAGTTCAGGGAAATCTCTTTACTCCTTGCATCCTCACCTCTGCTTCCCATCTGGAAAAGTGAGGTCCCAGCCTCAGCTGATGCCAGGCATGTCACAGAGCTACCACACATGGGAAGGCGTTATTAACCATCCCAGCAGTAGCACAAACCCTTGCTTTAGCTTCTGGCCCTGTGTGTTGTGCCTTGATGTCCATGTACCACACCAGGACAGTCAATGTGCCACATTCTCCACTTCCTTCTTCATCTCATCTGCTCACCGTGCAGCCATTCCTGGTGAGTCCTTCTCACCTGTGTTCTTCCAAATCTCCTGAGACTGCTGGGCAGGCACACAGTCTGCTTCTAGGTGCTGTATTGTGATTGCATCCATTAATGAAGAGGTTTTGGGACTGTCAGATGAGCCAAGGAGCTGTTCAGCAGCAGCAGGATCAGGCCATTCTGTCCTGTCAGTTTAAAATAATGTCTGAATCTCAAGTGCAGAGTCTGTGGTTGGCAGAAGAAGAAAGGCAGGAGCACACCTTGGGGGCCTGAAAGTTTGTCAGAAGACAGGTATCTTGCCTGTGGAGCTGGGGTCAGAATTTCCCTGAGGAAAAATGTATCTGGGCAGTTCTTTTTGTCTGTCTCATGATTAACTCTTCACAGATGAGTTCTTTCCTTTTCTAGCTGGCAAAACGCTCCTTGGCTTGCAGCATTCTGTGCTTTGCAGTCTGGGGATGCAGAGCACGCTGTGAGAGCTCTGGATTTGCATTAAGGATTGCAGTGATTTATATTTATTTCTCCCAATAGGCTATTGATCAGTATGAGAGTGGATGTCTCTGTTCCAGGACAGTGTGGGATTGTGGTGCACCGAGAGAGTGGGAACCTGTCACTCGCCACTGCACCACAGAGCTGCTTCCCTGAGCATAGCCTGCCACGTCCAGCCCCAGGTTTTCCATTCCAGTCCCTTCACAGCCTCTCATCCCTCCCATTCCAGGTACAGAGCAGACCAAGCAGATTGTCTTTGCTCCCAGCACGGAGCCGGCCTTTGTCACTGTCCCCCAGAACAGCTTCGGGGAGCCCTTCGTACTCAACCCCAACACCTGGTCTCTGGTTGTTGAAGCACAGGGTGTGCTGCTGGTAAGGCCCCATGCTCCACCCACCGTGGGGGCTTCAGCAGCTCCCTGGGGCCAAGTGTCCCAAGCATAACACCTCTCCCATCTCTCCTCCTAGGACTATCTGGTTTTACTGCCCAGCTCGTACTATGAAGCACCAATCCTGCAGCTGAAGGTCACAGAGCCTTGTGTCTATCAGCCAGCCCCTGAACAAGCCACCCAGAAGTAAGGATCTGCACATCTTTGTGCTGTGTGGGGCTTGTTCAGCTCCTCTTGGCCTGGGGTTAAGGAATATCCACAGTCCACATTCTGTGATGCAGTAAAATTGCTTTGTAGAGCGCTTGGCTGTGGCTGATAAAGTTTGTGAAGCCTGCACTGGTCCAGAAAGGCAACCCATAGATCTCCTCATCCATGACACAGCCAGTCTGTGTTTTCTCATGGACCCTGGAGAGGTCCAGCTCACCCAGAGGCACCTCTCTGCTAGGCTGGGCTCCTCAGTGCCAGGCTGTGGGTGGGTGGGTGGNTGTGCCCTCAGAAATGGCTGCCATGAGTAGGTTTTGCTGGACTATTTAAAATTAACAAAGTGTAGTAGTGTTTGGTCAGTCTCAGTGCATCTCTTTGCCCAGAACCTCTCTGTCCATGTTGGCAAGAAGGCTGGCTGGCCTCTGGACACTGTCTGTCCCATCCACCATAGTAGTGGTCCCCAGGACAAAACCCATTGCAAGGGGAGAAGCTTTTTGTTGTTACTGCTCTCCCTGGTCCTGTAATGCCCAGCCTCTTGCTCCCCTCTGACCAGAGCTGCTCCTTGGCCCTCCTGATAGACCAAACCCTTCTGCAGACTTGGCTGGGCCAGGCTGTGTGGGTGCTCTCAGCTTTCATAATCATGATGCAACTTTTTGTGCTTCACAATTTTTTTCTGTGCGTTTCCAGCTGCCTCTTGTACAAGTACCTGTCTGTGGAGGGCTTCCCTGCCGTGCCAGGGGTGGATGCAGTGTGCAGGCTGGACAACCGGCTCCCCAGGCTGTGTCCCACGGAGCAGCTCACCCCCTCCCACCCCCGGATGGCCGCCTGCAGTGGCAGTGATGTGAGTGGCACTTGTGTTTCATCCTTCTCCCATCCACTGCAGCGCTCGCCCCCCTGCCCTCCCTGCCTGGGGCTTTACCTACACCTGGGCAGGTGAGAGAAGGGCTTTACACCCATGCAGCTGTGTGCTTGTGTGCCCTGTTTGAGGCACCCAAACCCAGAGTCTCACATGCAGAGGTTGGTAAGGTTTTGATGAGATTGGTTGTGTTGTTCCCTGAGCTGCAGAGGAGGCTGGTTTGTAGCATGGGCATCCTGCACACGTTCCCTGAGTCATCCCTCTCTCCTCCAGGTGGAAGTGCAGCTGTCCCTGCCCCTGGCCCAGCCTGGGAAGTACATGCTGCTGGTGGAATATGCCAACACCAACGCCCTGCAGACGGTGGGCATCGCCGTGAGCTCGCCACACTTGGCCACGCAGCAGCGCACCTTCACCTTCTACCCCTGTGCCTACAGGTAGGGGCACCTCAAGGGAGAAAGGGTCCAGTTCTCTGCCATGGCAAGGACAGCCTCCCCTCCAGGTGGACTTTCTCAGGTTTATCACATAAACAGAGCAAGCTTCAGTGTTGTCCATCTAAGCTCTGTGTCCAGACTCATTCTAGCTGGACACAGGTTTTAGTGGCTGGCCTTCCCATTCAGGGAAGTGTGTAACTGCCTCTGCCAGGAGATAAACTCTTGCATCTGTTTACAGCTGGATGTGTTGGTAGGGACCTTGACTTAGGGAGTGACCTACAGGCAGGTTTATTGGAGACTGTCTGACTTCAGACTGCAAACTTTGCAGTAGGAAACAAATGTTTGGGGTGTCCTTGGAACTTCGCTCTTTCGAGCAGCCAGAAAAAACAACAAAAGATTTCCAGGGACTTTGTGTAAATCCCCTCAGGACATAGAGCTGGCAGGAGAAGAAATGGGTCATGACCCTGTGCAAGGCTGGCTTCAAAATGTGTGTTTCTCTTACAGTTTCCTTTGTCGAGGGATTGCTGTGGATTCCCAGAGTCGAATGGCAACTTTTGAACTCACCTCAGAGGCCACTGTTCGTTTCACCTCTGATCTGGCTGATTTCTTCCTGGTAAGGCTCCCTCTGAGGGCAGCTCTGTCAACAGCTCACAGGGACCCAGCCTGTAGAAGGGTTTTCTAGTCCTGTTTGGACTGGATGGACAGACATGTTTGGACATATCTGTGTCATGACCAGTCCAAGTGGAGAATGTGGGCAGTGGGGAGTTTTGAAGTAGACCACGGGACTGGGAGTGGGGAGGAGGTGGGGAGAAGCAGCTGTTCTTGCAGAGAGAGCTCTGTAGCAGTGGGGCAGTTCCTTTTTTATCTTGAAGGCATTCCTTGTTTAGCCAAGGATAGAAGAATCCCATCAACATGTGGAGTTTCTAAATGCTGTAAGGCTCGTGCCAGGGAATGAGGGGCAGTAAGCAGAGGTGTGGCTACCATGCCTTGGCTGGAGTGCCTGATGGCTGGTGGGCACAGGGACTGCTGTGGCTGCAGTGGCAGAGGCTGTCACATAACCAGATGTCTCTCTGTGGTGTGGCAGCACAAAGTGTACCTGATCCCTGCTGCACAGTTCACCATGGAGCTCATCGAGCCGAAGGTGCACTGCATCAGTGTCCATGGCACCTTCTCATCCAACAGGTGAGAGTCTCGGGTCCCCCTTAGCTTTAGCATGAATGGGACTATTTCCAAAAACATTTGCTTGTCCCACTTCCCTCACACTCAGAGACTTTTTAAGTTCTTGATGAAGAAATCTCTAGCTGAAGTGAAGCTCCTTGCTTGTGTCCTCTGAGCATAGATTGGGAGTCAGACTGATGGTCCTGTACCTGAGCCCCACTCTGCCTCCTGGGGCAGACACTCAAGTGTCATCCCAATTAGGCATTCCTATGCAAGACACTTGCTGTATCCAAATTTCTGACACTGCTTCAAATAAATATTTGCAGAGGAATTAGCTGGTGCCAGGCTCGCGTTCTTCCTGCTGAGCCCGTACCCCAGAGCCCCAGGGGTGCTGGTAGTGAGCTCTCCCTCAGCAGGCACATGTTGCAATCCAGCAGGAGTTACAGGGTGTGCTTCCCTGCCAGGACCCCAGAGCCACTCTTTCTTTCTGGAGGTACTCACATCCTGTTCACTCCTTGTTTTCCAGCAGCTCCTGTGTCCCCTCAAGGTTCCTGAAGCTTTCTCAGTCAATCATTTTGGAGGGGGCCCAGGCTCTGCCCATCGCCCCAGAGGTGCCCCTGGCTCAGGCTGTCCATGTGGCTCCAGCTGGGGTGCCAGTGGAGCCTGCTCCTCCTCCTCCCACAGCGATGGACCCCACTGCAGAGCTCATCCTCCTGCAGTCCCCACAGGTAGGGGCACAGGCATGGCTTGGGCTGGTTTGCTGGTGCTGTGACACTGGACCACAAAGAAATTTTCCTTACCTGTTGATAAATGCTTTATCAATTAGCATTTTCAGAATTTAATCTGAGCTTTAAACTTCTCCCTGAACCTGTAATTCCTGTGGACTTACCTATCTTGGCTTTATCCAACCTTGGGATCCCAAGAAAAGTTTTTCAGGTGGCAGCATTAGAGGGGGGAGAGTGTGGAGGCATGGAGGGCTTGATTCACTGAATTCTCAAGACCTGGCAGTTGTGCAATAAGAGCACAAATCTATGCAATAACTAAAAAACATCCCAGGTGTGGGTGCAGGTCTCAGACATGGATTTTTGTCTGTGTTCTCCCGCTTTGGGGCAGGCTGCAGTGGTGTTTAACAGCCGGATCCAGACCCTGGGACGCTATGCCTTCATCCTGCACTTCTACCAGCCCAACCACCCCACCTTCCCTGTGGAAGTGCTGATCAATGGTGGGCGCATCTGGCAAGGTGAGAAGAGCAGGGACCTGGGGAAGCTGCTGGTTGGCAGAAGCCCTGGAAGTTTTCCATGCCAGAGGATGTCTGTGGGTTCTTTAGGGATTGCAAAAATGGAGCAAGACTGACTTAATTTTTCCAAACGGGGAGGATGTGATGGGGACTCAAGGGACATGTGAGACCAACACATTTGTTGTCTTTTCAGGTCAGACCAATGCGAATTTCTGCCCACATGGCTACGGTTGCCGGAGCCTGGTGGTTTCTGAGGACCAAATCATCCTGGATGTTACTGATAATGATCTGACTGTGGTTGTTCGAGTGCCACAGGGCAAGCAGCTGTGGCTGGTGAGCCTCTGTCCAGGAAGCTTCCAGGGCATGCTGGGCAGGCTTCAGCAAAGGGTTTTTCATTGGATTTTTGTTACTGTATGACCACAGGAATGCTTCCCACCATCACTCAGCCTCTGAACTACCCTAGAAAGTTGCTGTCTCCAACCTTAGTGGTGTGGAATTGAAGACAGAATTTACAGGGGCAGCTTCTGTATATGAGAGTGTCCTTCCTTGTCTGGTTTTGGTATCAAAACCAGGCAGAGATTGAAGCTGTTACTTTGCATACATAGTTTGTGATAATCCAGAATAAGCCTAGCAATATTTTAAACCTGCATAATATTGTTTGTTCAGGCAGGCCTCATCATGAGAATAGGTAGCCCTTGTTCTCAGGGAACAGGACTAGAAGATTGACCAAAATTTGGATAAATGGCTGAAAGACAGAACTGGGACCCAGATGCCTTCATGTGTAGAAATTTCAGATGATAAAGACTTGCCTCCCTGCTGAGGCACAGCCAGTGTTGTGCTAGTCTGGGTATATTCTGCCTGGTTTTAGTCCAGTGAATTTGTGCTGTTCCTCATGTGGAGCTTTAGGTTAGATGGAACCTGATGGACAGACCTCAGTGGAGAGGTGGCTCCTGGTCTTTGAGGTATTTGGTGTGTTATGTTCTGTCCCAGCAAGGCATTAAAGGTGCATTTGGAGTAATTTTGGATGGTATTTGTCTGTTGGAGCTGAGAGCCTGGCTCACCCAGCTCGCCCTTGCTTTGCAGGATTACATCCTTGTGGTGCCTGAGGACAGCTACACCTCCCAGTACCTGCAGGAGGAACCCCTGGACAAGTCCTATGATTTCATCAGCAGCTGTGGCATCAACAGTTTCTACATCAGGTGATCTGCTTGGCTTTGGGTGCCTGCTCTGCTGCCCACTGCTCAGGGAGCAGCACCCCTTCCCTTCATGCGTGGTGGGGAGGGGGCTGCTTGAGGTTTTCTTTCTGTTGAGCAAACGTGGGTATTTGGGAGCTCTCAGTGCCACAGGGCTCTCCCTCCCGTGGCTGCAGGAGATGCTGGCTTTGGGGTGCTGGGGAGGCTGTGGGGATGTGCAGCACTGACTCCTCCTGCCTTCCCCTGCAGCCCCAGCAGCTCCTCGAGGTTCTGCCGCGACTCTGCCATCTCGCTCTCCCTCTTCTACAACAACGGGGCGCAGCCGTGCCGCTGCCACGAGGCCGGGTCACGGGGCAGCCAGTGCCAGCCCTTCGGGGGACAGTGTCCCTGCAAGTCCAACGTCATCGGCCGCGAGTGCTCCCGCTGTGCCACCGGCTACTGGGGCTTCCCCAACTGCAGGCGTGAGTTCTCCCGCTGCGCCTGCCCGGCGCTGGCTCTCTGGCCGTTCCCCACACCTGCCTCGGGTTCCTGGGTCTGGCTCGCCCAAACCCAGCCTCTTTCTGCCCCTTGCAGCCTGTGACTGCGGGACACGTCTCTGTGATGAAGTGACAGGGCAGTGCATCTGCCCTCCCCACACCCTGAAGCCAGAGTGTGTTGTCTGTGAGCCCCAAACCTTTGGCTGCCACCCCCTCATCGGCTGTGAGGACTGCAACTGCTCCCAGCCCGGCGTGCAGGAGCTGACAGAGCCAGGCTGTGACGTGGACAGCGGGCAGTGCAGGTGAGGGAGCCCCATCCTGGTGCCGGGGACATCTGGCAGCATTCCTGGTCCCTGCCGGAGTGATGGGACAGCTTGGCAAGCTGAAGGGAGGGAATGTGCAGAACTGGGGTGAGGAAAGCTCTGAAAGCTCTTCTGGCTCTTGTGTCCACCCAGGTGCAAGCCCAACATCATCGGGCGACAGTGTGACCTCTGTGCCCCTGGCTACCACCACTACCCTGAGTGCCGGCGGTGTGACTGCCACCAGGCTGGCACCGAAGCGAGCGTGTGTGACCCGGTCACGGGGCAGTGTCACTGCAAGGTCAGTCCCTCAGAGCCTCCATGTGGTGCCTTTCTCCTTCAGGCTCAACTCTCCTGCTCTGGCAGGGGCTGTGTGGCCCAGCATGCCAGAGGGAGCGGGGAGGCACAAGAAATGTACCTGAGCTGTGCCTGAGGCCACTCAGTGCCTGCCTGAGCTGCAGCCAGCCTGCCCCATGGGGTGGTGGGTTCAGAGCACCCTGGAAAGCTCTTACCTCCTCATCCTTCCTGGCCATGAAGGTTCACTCTTTGGCTGTCACTGGGGGAGATGGCCAGTCTGAATCCAGCCCTGTGTCTGAGCTTGTTGCAGGTGGAGTTGTGAGCCCTATTGGCTCCTGGCTCCATGTCAGCAGAGAAACTCAAACAGCTTCTTGAGTTGCCTGCTCCAGCCTCTTTGTAGAGCTTACAAGTGCTTCCTATAGGAGAATCTAATGTTTGGTGGATGCTGTACAAGCAAACCTGTTTGGGGGACTGCTTTAACATCTTCCAGCACCACAGCATTGTCCTTTGGTCACTCAGACAGCCATCCCTGTCCTCCACTGAGGCCTTGTGAGAAGCTGCTGAAGCTGTTGAGCTTTGCTTGTCTTTCAGGAAAATGTGGAGGGCCTGAGGTGTGATCAGTGCCGCCTGGGGACATTTTCTTTGGATGCCACCAACCCCAAGGGCTGCACCAAATGTTTCTGCTTTGGTGCGACCGATCGCTGCCGCAGCGCCGAGAAGCACCGAGCTGAGGTGAGAGGGACTGGGGGCCACCAGAGCCTGCAGGTCAGGTGTGTTCCCATCCACCTGGCTCCCTGCTGCCCTCGGGTCTCTGTCCTGCATTCATCCTACTGAAGATACACCGTGAGGAGGGTTATCTGTGACTCCCTGTGCCCATATCCTGCTTTCAGCCCCTTTTCCTGGTCTCTGGGGTCTCATGTGCTGGGCAGGGGTGATGGTCAGCTTTTCTGTGGCTTCATCAGGATGCATGTGAGGTGTGAGCCTGACTGTTATTCCCCTTTCTGCTGCTCTGGGACCTGTTCATCTGGAGCATCAACACCCAAATGCTTTCTGTAACTCCAATAGAAGACCCACAGTTGCTCTTCCCCTCCAGTTTGTCGACATGAATGGGTGGCTCTTGCTGAGCAGCGACCGCCACGAAGTGCCGACAGCTCTGAGCCCACGGGAGCAGCTCGTCACTGCTGACCTCAAAAACCTCCCAGATGCCTACCAGGAACTCTACTGGGTTGCACCCAGCTCCTACCTTGGGGACCAGGTAAGAGAATGGGGAACCACCCTGACCTCACCAGCAGCCTGACATGGAGGCACTGCTCACACTGCGGTTGAGCATACTCTGTCTTGTCTCAGTGATGTGGACTTACAGCAACGTCTGGGATTTGTGTCTCCCTCAGGTTTCCTCCTATGGAGGGCACCTTCGCTATGAGCTGCACTCCAACCCTCGCAGGGGTGACGTGTTCATTCCCATGGAGTCCCGGCCAGACGTGATCCTGAAGGTGCAGCCCAAGAAATTCCCTGGTGCTCCCTGCTAGTGCAGGAGCAGGATGAGGCGATGACTGACACTTTCCTTGCTTTTCCCAGGGAAATCAGATGAGCATCATGTTTCTGGAAGGCGCCTACCCATCCCCAGGGGAGGCTCACAAAGGCCGGCTGCAGCTGGTGGAGGTGAGTTTGCACACAGAAATGAAGTGCTCTTACAATGCAGGAAAGGACAAGACTTCATGCAGACAGAGGGGCAGTTGCTTTGAGCTCAGCATCTAGGTGCTGCAGGGCTGATGCAAAGGGGAAAGATTCCAGCAGCAGGGATGTGGAGGCTGGGCTGGATGTTCAGGTGCCTGTGCTTCCTGCCAGTAATGTCAGCTCTCCTCCCACCAGGGTAACTTCAGGCACACAGAGACTCACAACCCTGTGTCCAGAGAGGAGCTCATGATGGTGCTGGCAAACCTGGAGCAGCTGCAGATCCGAGCACTCTTCTCCCAGCTCTCTTCCTCCGTGTCCCTGCACCGTGTGGTGCTGGAGATGGCAACAGACACAGCCACAGGCATCCGTGCCAGCAACGTGGAGCTGTGCTTCTGCCCAGCTAACTACCAGGGAGACTCCTGCCAGGTAAGGAGGAACTGTGCTGTTCAGTCACAGGGGTCACACAGTCATGTTTTGGGTACCAGCTGCCTCCAATCTGGCTCTTAAAGGCTTCAGTTGGGAACAGCTTGGCTCGTTCCCAAGGAAGGAACGTTTCTCCATCACAACGCCGTGCACTTGGGAGAGGTGCAGAAGTTTCATCTGCCGTCTTGGAAGGGACATGATGGGGAAATCATTCAGGTGTTGCAGTACCTTGGAATGGGTCCTTCTCTCTGGCCAGTTCTCTCCTGGTTAAAAGGAGCAGAGAGGAACTGCACTGAAAAATCTTCATCCTTGCTTATAATCTTTTCTCCATCAGTACAACCCAGTGGGAATTCTCTCATGGAAACTAATTTAGTTTCTTTGCTTTTCCCAAAAGTATCAGGCTGGTTTTCAGATCTCTGCCTTTTTCTGCCTCCTCAGGAATGTGCTCCAGGTTACTACAGGGACACTAAGGGACTCTTTCTGGGAAAATGCATCCCCTGCCATTGCAATGGCCACTCGGATCAGTGCCTGCCAGGCTCTGGGATATGCCTTGTAAGTAAACAGTGGGGCAGTGTGATATTTTGGAGTTACGAGGTCTGTAGCATGTGATTCAAAAGCTCTTTACATACTAACTGGGCTGGCAGAACCCTGCCTGAGTCAGAGCATTGGCTTCCCTGTTTCAGTGGAAGCCCTGCTCAGGGTCAGCTTAGGGTACAAGGCAGTTGTGGGAGAGAGGAAGGGCTGAGGCATCCTGATGGAGAGTTTTTAGTGCATCCACCATTCCTTGTTGTCAGTGCTGAGCCCAGGGCTTTCATTTTCCTTGCAGAACTGCCAGCACAACACAGAGGGAGACCACTGTGAGCGATGCAAGGACGGCTACATGGGCAGCCCCTCTGCCCAAGAGCCCCTGCAGTGTGTTGGGTGCCCATGCCCTCTTTCAGTTGCCTCCAACAAGTAAGCACCTCAGGATGGGATTGCCTATTTGGCCTCACTGTTTAACCACTGGAACTACGCTGTGCCCCACCAGGGCAGGTGTCCCAATGCCAGCCTTGTCCTTGCCCCCAAACCACGTTCATGGCCTCTTCCCCACGGCCCCAACAGCCCACAATGAGTGAGCAGCTCCCCTGGCACCACTCCTGGATCAGGAGTAACTGCTCCTCCCTGTGTCCTCATTCTCATTTCAGTTTCGCTGTTGGCTGTGTCCACAAGGGTTCCAACATGCAGTGCCTCTGCAAGCCAGGCTACGCTGGACCAAACTGTGAGCGGTAAGGGAGTGGCAGCCGTGTTTGGGGGGGCCTCAGACACTAACCCTGTACAGCCACTGCTGTGGCAGAGAAGCTGTCTGCTTAAGGACTGCAGCAAAAACAGTTGGCTCTGCCCCTGTGTGCTTTGTTCTGGCAGCATTTCCCTCTGTCCTTTTCAGTCTGCAAATACCCAACTGCTGAAATCCTGTTACTGTGGGTGTGTGACTTAGGTGTGCTTTGCCATGACTTGCAGCCTGTGATAAAGGCACCTTTCTGAGGTATCACAAGGCAAAACACTGAGATCCCTGAGGGCTGCAGCAGTTACAAGTGTTGGATGCTCACACTGTTCCAGTTGTGCAACTCCAGTGCACGGTGCAGGCGCGAGCCACAGGATCCTCACTCGGTTGTAACTTGTGTTTCTCCAGGTGTGCCCCGGGGTACTATGGCAACCCCCTGGTGATTGGCAGCTCGTGCCAGCCCTGTGACTGCAGTGGGAACACGGATCCCAACATGCTGTTCAGCAGCTGTGACTCCCTGACGGGCGCCTGCTCGGGCTGCATGCACCACACAGCCGGCCCGCGCTGCGAGCTCTGCGCGCCCGGCTACTATGGGGATGCTGTGGTAGCCAAGAACTGCACACGTGAGTGGGACTGGCAGCCAGCCCAGGGGCAAGGGGAGCAGTTCCCAGCACTGCTTCTCTCTCTGAGGAACAGCAGCCCTAATGCAGCTTGCAGAAGGGGCCATGGGAATAAGTTGTTGTGAGAAGCAAATGGAGAGAGTCTCTGTCTTAACTTTGACTGGTAGATAAGGGGGAAAGAGGCTTCCCTGTTAGCAGTAAGTGTTGTGAGTGGCTGACAGGCTCTTCAGTGTAATACTGGCTGTATTTTTCCCTGGCAGAGTGCAACTGTTCACCTTGTGGGACTGACTCCTGCCATCCACAGACTGGTCAGTGCTTCTGCAAGACTGGAGTGACAGGCCAGCACTGTGACCGCTGCGAGGTGAGGGTCACCTGGCTGCTGGGATGGTGCCTGTCCTTGTCATGGGGATGGGGGGCAGCCCTGGTGTGTCATCCCCCAGGCCTGTGAACAGAGTAGGGCTGGCTGCCAGCTGGTGAAGGCTGCATTTGCTCCAGCTGTGCTGTACATGGCAAAAGCCGATTAAAGATCTGGCAGCAAGCAGTGGAGGCATCATTTGGGAATCTGCAATGAACCCCATATTCCTGAGTGATCCAGCCTGGGCAAGGGCAGGTTCACAGGGCAGTGCCATGATGTGTCTGTGTTCTCGCTGCAGCTCCACATCTTTACCATGTTACTTTGAATTTTGTGGCTCTCAAAACACACCCAGAAAGGAAAGCCTGGGTCCCCCATCACTGACCCAGGAGAGAGGCACACTTGCTGACCAGGGCATCCATTTCCTGCTTTTCCCTAGGAGGGATCCTATGGCTTTGAGGGATGCTCGGGCTGCCGGAGGTGTGACTGTGACGTGGGTGCTGTGGGAAGCAGCTGCCACGTGCAGAGCGGCCAGTGCAGCTGCCTGCCCGGCGTCAGCGGCGCGCGCTGCCATCAGTGCGCCCCGGGCTACTGGGGCTTCAGCCAGCACGGCTGCACAAGTGAGTGTGGGGTCCCAGCCAGGGGCACTGTGACAGGGCTGTGGTGCTGGTCCAGCTGTTGAAGGCAGAAAACAGCTGGCAGCTGTCTGAGGGCCTGTACACGTCGCTGCGTTGCACAGGGAAGCCCTGGCAGCGGCGTGTGGGTGAGCACAGCTGGAATAAAGCCGCTCCTTCCCCTCTCTCCAGAGTGGTAAAAGCACAAAATGATTCTCTGTTACTCGACCCTGCAGAGTGTGAGTGCAGAGGGGGCTCCTGTGACCCTCGCACTGGGGAGTGCACGTGCCCCAGCGGGCTCACGGGGAAGCAGTGTGACGTCTGCCTGCGCGAGCACGAGGTCCTGGTGGCAAACGGCCCCGACAGCATGAAGTGTGAAGGTCTGTGTCCCACTGTCCTGGGGAAAGAGGGGAGGGAAGCCAAGGAGAGGGCCTGTGCTGACTGCTGTGTTCCTCTGCAGTGTGTGACAGCTGTGTCCTGCTTCTGCTGGAGGACCTGCAGAGCATCGAGATGTCCTTCCCGTCCATCCGCGGCCAGCTGGTCACCCTCAACGCCAGCTCCATTGCCTGGGCTCGCCTCCACGGCCTCAACGGCACCATAATGGCCATTGCTGTATGTGGAAGGTTTCACATCACCTCCTGCCCATGTTCCCTTGGCCAGTTGGCCTGATTTAGCCTCTTGGTTTTTTTTTATTTCCTAGAACCAGCTCCGTGAGTACCACCGAGCCATGAGCAGGGTCAGGCAAAGGGCTGATGAGCTGGAGGATGAGAACATGGACCTCACACAGGACCTGAATGCACTGCAGCACAAAGTAGGGTATTTCTCCATCTTTCTTTGCCAGAACACAAGTCCCTCTTTTACCAAACCAAGGGCTTTGAAGGTTGTGGGGAGCTTAGTTCAGACAGGTTGGATCTTCTGCTCGACCAGAGCTAAGTTGCAGTGTTATGTTCTCAAGCTGGATTACCTGCTTTTCTCCCTTCGAGAGCTGTTAAACATCTCTTGATACTGGTAGTTTTTGATTTACTGCTTGCTTTTGAGGTGGCTACAACTTTAAGCAGTAAAAGTAAATTCAATCAAGTATCATTTACAGGAGATATATCTATCATTTATAGAAGGGGCATACAGGTAAGGAACATAAAACATCTGGGTCCATCATGGGTGGAATCTATATCCAGTCTAAAACCTAGCAGTTGTGTCTTCAGAGAACTTTAAAAGTGAGCAAGGTTTGGTTTGATTTGATTTGATTTGATTTGATTTGATTTGATTTGATTTGATTTGATTTGATTTGATTTGATTTATAAACTGCTTAAGTGTTTCCAATCTTAGGGAGAGGGAAAAATCTCTGCTTGATGACATACCTCCCCAGAGAGCTGCAAAGACAAACTGCCCCTGTGTGTTACCCACAGCCAGACTGCAGACCCTTGTCTCTTGATCAGGACCCAGGTGTGCCTGGCTCCAGGCTTTGGAGCTTGTCCTGAGTTAAAAAACTCAGTTAAAACTAAACTAACTGAGTTAAAAGCACAGAACAGCACTGAACTCTGTGGTGTTGGGATTGTTCCAGTGTCCAGAGCCTGATGCATTGGAGCTGTATTTAATACTTGTGCTTCTCTGAAGGTGCTAAATAAGATCATCCTTCAGTGCATTGTAGGACTGCAGCATGGGGCAGGCTCGTTCAAGGACCTCACAAGCTGCACATTCCCAAGCCTTGTGTGCCTTTTGGGAGCAACAGTCCCACTGACAAATCACATGAAATACCATCTCATACTTGAGCTAAACCAGTGTTTTTGTTGCAGATGACCATGACTCACCGAGAGGCGAGTCGTGTTGAGCAGCACACGAGGGACATGTACCAGAGGGGGGAACAGCTCCTGCTGCACATCCAAAGCATCCAGAGGGACATTGCAGGCATGTCAAGAAGGGTCTTCACTTTGGGTTTTTTTCACTGTGATATGCCATGCTCTTGATTTCAACCACTGCCAAGTACTGCAGTGCTTAAAAAAAGCCATGGAGAGAGCAAGGGAAAATGCAGATTAAGATCCCTGCAGAATCCCAGCTTTTACTCTGACCAGGCTTATTGTGAGTCTCAGCTGCTTGGCTGAACACAAGTCTGGGGAAAAAACAAATTAAACTTCCACAAATGTTACTAAAATGCATTAAACAGGGGCAATCTTCACTGCAGCTTCAGGAGAGATTGAGCAAAACAGAGTGGCTGGATCTGGGAGAGGAGGCAAAGCCACAGAAGGATGCTCAGGATGTAGTGTGTGCTGCTGGTGGTGCCAAGGAGGCAGAAACATGGGGCACTGCCTCTGGGTGATCTCAAGCAATTTGCTGAGTGCTGCCTGGAAGCTGTCCGTGGTCTGTGAGGAGAAGGACCTGAGGGAATTGTGAAGGACCTGGTTTGGTCAGTGTGTCAGGGGCTGTGGTTTCTCTGCAGACCTGCTGCGGCAGATGGCCAGGTTCGGGGCAGCGAATGCCAGCACCACATCCAGCGAGGAGCTCCGGCAGAAGATGGCTGAGGTGGAAAGGATGCTGAGAGAGATGAAGGAGAGGAGCCTGGGAACCCAGGAGGAGCTGGCAAGGCGTGAACACGAGGAGGCACAGAAGTGTGAGTCCAGCTCAGTGGCCCAGGGCTGCCCAGATCCTGCAGGGTCTGGCTTGGAGCTCACACAGACACTGCACATTGTGGTCATGTTTAGAGAGCACTGCTAAGAACCAAGCATCCCAGCAATTTTAAAAGGAGTTTCAGAGTCCCCTGTGACACTCCAACGGGATAATTTGTAGTTCCTTTTCCCTTAAGGCAGAACTAACTGGGTAGTTCTGTTTGATGAACAAAAATGACAACACTTAGAACCAGGAATCACCATTATTATGTGATGTATTCACACCACACATGGATGGGAATAAATCACACCATGTTTCTTCCTATTTGCTGACCCCACTAGAGTAACAGCCAGCTGCCAGCACCCACAGTAGCTGTGGTGTCCTGAGGGCCTTCTTGCAGGAGTGAGAGCAGTGAGCACAAGCAGGGATGCTGGCACTGCAGGAAGAGAACACTTCTGATTAACAGGCCCTGTCAAAACAACTCGGCAGCTAAAAGCTGGAATTTTAAAGTAGTTCTTGTTGGAAATAAGTAATTTTTCTCAGTGGAAGTAATCAAAGCCTTAGGTGGGGTTGCTCCATCATCTGGAACTTTTCAGGCACAGCTGTGTCTTTGAAAGAGATCCCATCTCTCACCAGCACTGAGGGTTTGGAGACAGTCAGGGGCAAGATCATGTGCTATCTAGGCTGAGAAGGAAGGAGGGATGGAAGGTGGTCACTTCTGGCCTTGATACGTGCCTAGTGAGACCAGGAGCCAGGCTTTAGAGGCACAGAAAGAGTCTGTTTAACATAGGAAGGAGAACTGAATTGGCATCCCCCCCTCCACAGTGCTGCACCGGGTGAGGAGCGAGCTGCACGCCCGCTGGCAGTCCAACCAGGACCTGGTGAGCCGCATCCAGGAGCGGCTGGCCCAGCACAGCTCCCAGCTCATGGATCTGCGCGATGCCCTCAACGAGGCCGTCAACAAAACCAGGCAGACAGAGGACTTGAACAGCCTGAACCAAAACAACCTGGAGGAGAGTCAGGTAGATCTTCACCACATTCCTGGCCATGCAGTGAGGGGTGGCTGTCCCAGCCCTGCTGGTCCCTAACCCTGGCTCTTTGTGTCCAGCAAAAGAGCCGGGAGCTCCAACAGCAGCATGCGCTGGTGCAGGAGACCCTGCAGATGGCCAAGGACGCCCTTGCCCAGATCTCTGACTTCCTGCAGATGATGGAGCGTGCAAAGGAGGTGAGTGGCAGAGACACTTTGGCGTGGGCAGAGGGAGGTGTGGCAGTCCTCAGCAGTGACAGGTGTCCTTGCAGGCGTACGAGAAGCTGGCGGCGCTGCTGGATGGGGCAAAGCTGCCCCTGTCCGAGCGGGTCAAGAAGTTCTCCCCAGCCAGCAGCAAGATCCCCATCGTGGAGCAGGCAGAGGAGCACGCCCGGCTCCTGGATGAACTCGCAAGGAACCTGTCTGGGTGAGGCACCTGTCCTGACCCTCTCTAGTCAGGCTGTGTCCTACCAGAGCTGGGGAAACTGCAGCCCCACCATGGCAGGGGAACAACGGAGTATCACCTCCAGTTTTCTACTGGAGCACACATTATGCTGAGGAGCCCAGGGGGGTTTGTGTGTGGGGGCATGGACAAGAGCCTGAGTGTTCTCCATGGACTTGATGGCTTCATCTTCCAACACAGCATTATCCAGGACACAAACCAGGACGGTTTTATCCAGCGGGCGGTCGATGCCTCCAATGCCTACGCCAGCATCATTGAAGCTGTGAGGAAAGCAGAGCAAGCAGCCCACGATGCTGACAAGGCAGCCAGCGAGGCCCTGAGGGTACGTGCTGTGGGGAGCCCTGTAAAGACAGGCAGAGAACAAACTCCCTTCCCTCTGGCCCGTGGGCCCTGTGCTCTGTCTCTGGGAGCAGTCTGACAGAGCTGAGGCCAGAGTCAGTTTGGGTCTCCCTGTCACACCCCACTGCAGTTGTCTGAATGAGCATTTTTGTGTGCAGTCAGAGCCAGAGATTTGAACTCCTCTTCAGAGTCCCATGTTTGTTTCACAGAATGTCATATCAGAAGACCTTGGGGCCACCTCTAGAACCCTGAAGAGGAACAGTAGCAGTCTGGAGGAGGCTGCGAGGAGGCAGCAGAGCAAACTCAATGGAGGTGAGAGAGTCTTCTCACAGGACCTGATGTCCTTTGGGCTGGATTGAGCTCCAGCAAACAGCATGTGCATTTCTTTAATTGCAGCTATTAAAGGCACTCTGCAGGCAGCAAAGGACAAGCTGACTGACCTCCGTGCAAGGAAGGAGCAGCTTCTGACCCAGCTCCAGGCTGTGCAGGACATGCTGGGCAGGGAGCAAGGTTTGTTCTTTGGGGTAGCTGGACTGATTTTCTCTCTGCTCCCTTCTCTATGCATTGACTGTGACCCAAGGGTGCTTCCTGCCTGCTCCTGGACACCTCAGAGATATTTCTTTCTTTGCAGAGGACACAAAGGACACAATCCAGAATGCCAAAGCAGCTGCTGCTGAGGCCAATGAAACGGCTGCAAGAGTGGAGGATACCCTGAGCAGCATGAAGAAGAACCTGGATGAGTGGAAAGACCAGTATGGAGGCCTCAGAAATGAAGATCTGAACCAGGCAGTCCAGGATGCCAGGAAATCTGGTGAGTGCTGAGCCTGGTGTGCTATCTGCATGCACAGATACCCCCAGAGCTCCAGGTCAAGAGCAGAGGGAGGTAGCCAATACTGGATGCTTTAAGTCCTGGCCCTTTTATTTTAACCTCTCCTGCAATGTCTGTATCACCTGTAGCTTTACTGCAGGAGGTTACATGCACTGGGACATTCTCAGACCCCCTCAAGGCTGTTGGATTTAGGGGGATCTCTCTGTGACTGCTCCCAGCTACCACTGCTGTGACTTACATTTCTCAAACTGCCTGAATTTCGCATTTCCCTTCCTTGCTAACCTCCAAAACACCTGGCTCCTCTTCAACCCCAGTGTCCAGCCTGGAAAGCACCATTCCTCTGCTGCTGGAGAAGCTGAGCAGCCTGGAGAACAGGAGGAACAAAAATGCCACTGTGTCAGAGAACATCATGAGGATCCGGCAGCTCATCACACAGGCGAGGAACGCCGCCAGCAAGGTGAGCTCACAGGAGAGTGAGGGCTGGGCACAGTGTGCTGCGGGCCTGGGGTGCAGGAGGGCTTACCTGAGGGTAGCATGCAAAGGGGAGGGTGTTCGGGGCCACCAGGCAGGGTCCCTTTCTCATGGGATTTGGTAGAACTGGCAGTGACCAGACAGGTGGCAGCAGGTTCAGTGCCACAAGGGCTGCACTTCTCTCCCTGCAGGTGAAAGTGCCCATGAAGTTCAATGGCAGCTCAGGGGTGCAGGTCCGGATGCCCAGCAATCTGCAGGATTTAGCAGCCTACACATCGCTCAAATTCTACATCCAAAACCCTGAGCCCAGGAGCCGGCAGGATGAGGCAGAGGAGGGGCGGTTCGTGTTGTACCTGGGCAGCCAAGAGGTGAGATGGGGCCAGAGGGTGGAGTGAGCCCTTGGTGCATCAGTGATGTCCATGCCTGGACATCAGACCCTCACCTTGTCCCTGAGTGTCTTTGTGGGGAACACAAAGCCCCTGGATGCAGATGTCAGTCTGGGTGGGGAGTAGAATAGGGGCTGTTTGTCCAGTGCAGCCCTGGGAGCATCAGGGAGAGCTCCTGCCTATCCCAAATGCCAACACAAAGCCCTGTCTCTCCCTGAGTTCAGGCCACTGGAGACTACCTGGGCATTGTGCTCAAGGACCACAGAGTGCATTGGATCTACAAACTGGGAGACGAGGAGCCAACCTCCCTGAGTGTCGACGAGGATATCGGGGAGCAGTTTGTCACCATCAGCATCAACAGGTAGAGCCTTTGCTCAGGGAGGGCAGGGTTTGCTCCTTTGGGGGTCTCCCCTGGCCTTGACCATCCCTCCCTGCTGCAGGATCCTGCAGTACGGACACATGTCGGTGATCGTGGAGAGGCAGAGGGTGCACGAGATCAAGGGAGACAGCGTGGCCAAGGGAGAGCAGGGGCTGCTCAACCTGGACCCACACAACGCGGTCTTCTACGTGGGGGGCTACCCCTCCAGCTTCACGGTGAGGCGGGCTTTAGGAGGTGTCAGTGATGCCTTTGGAGGTTCTTACAGGAGGGAAAACCTGTTTAACTGTTGGGTTTCATTCCCAGCCTCCTCCTGCTTTGCGCTATCCCAACTACCGCGGGTGCCTGGAGCTGGACACGCTGAACGAGGAGGTGGTGAGCCTGTACAACTTCCAGCACACCTTCGAGCTGGACACGGCTGCCGAGAAACCCTGCGCCAGGTGGGCAGTCCTGCTCAGGGCACTGACAGAGCCCTGTGTGCTCCAGGCCTGGCAGACAGCTTGGGATTGATGCCTCTTGTGTGTCTCAGGTCCAAGTCCACAGGAGACCCCTGGCTCACTGACGGCTCCTACTTCGATGGCACCGGTTACGCGGAGATCAAGTTTGAGAGTCAGTTCGGCACGACCAAGCGCTTTGAGCAGGAGATCCGGGTGGTCTCCTACAACGGCATCATCTTCTTCCTGGAGAACCAGGCAGGTGCTTGCTCCCCTGGGGAGCCTTCATCCCTCAGTGGGTGGGCTGGGACAATCCCAGGCCTGCTTGCTGGCATTCCCAGTTCAGGACAGTGGGGAGAGGAGAGCTTTGGAGATCTCAGGGCTGCTTGGAGCAGGATTTCAGCACTGTTGTTAAAAGCCATGAGAGGATTGCACTCAAACCTCTCAGCAGTCACTTGGCTGGTGCTGGAGGGGCTCCCCAGAACTTGGAGACCATCCAGGCTGGGCCAGGGTTCACTGGCACAGGCAGTGCTGCAAGGAGCGTTTCCAGCTTGCAGTGTTAACCTTGTGTCCCAGCACAGGGCTGCTGTTTGAAGATAAATCCCAAATAACTGTGACCAGGGCACTGGAAGTGGGACCTGCTCCCACCAGTGCTAAAGGGCAGGTGGGCTCAGTGCCACAGGTGCATCCTGGATACCTGTTGAGTGTCCATCCTGCCTCCCCCAGGGTCAATTCCTGTGTCTGGCCATCCGGGATGGGAAGCTGGCTCTTTACTATGATTTCAGCTCTGGCCTGGAGATGGCAAAACCAAGCAACTCCTCCTTCCTCACCATCAGCAGCACCACAAACAAAGCGGTATGAGGGAATGGGGCTCACTTGGAGGGAGGGCTCCTCAGGCAGGGTGGGGAGGAACATGGACTCTTGTTTTTGAGGGGGGAAGGGCTGCAAGTTTTTTCCCTTGAGCCATTAACTAGACACTTTGCCCTGCCCTCTGTAATGGACAGACTGCCCCAGACTGACGGAGCATTTCTCACTCTGTCTCCAGATCCAGATTTTCCTCCTCAAAATGAACAACAAGAAGCGCATCCTGGTGCGGGTGGAGCGCCTCACCATCTTTGTGGTGGAGCAGGAGAACTCCCTGGAGAACGCTGTCTCCTATTACCTGGGGGGTGTGCCCCCAGCTGTGCTGCCCCCCAGGTGGGTCCAGCCTGCAGTGGGGTGGGACAATCAGCACGTTCCCCTCCAGTCCCTGGTGGTGGCCCTGGCCCTTTCTCAGCCACATCTGGGGCTGTTGGAACCCTGCTGAAACTGTGGGGGAAGTTTTTCTCTCCCTGTCCATCATCCTGAGCTTTTAAGGATGGTAACATTTCCGTCCCTGGTGAGGGATGAGATGCTGATGGGTGTCGCCAAGTCCTCCTTTGCTGTGCTGCGTGTTTCAGAGCAGCCTTGACACCGGAGATACCCGTGACCATCACAATTCATTCCAGTCACCTTGCCTGAAGAGCTGCCAGATCCTGCCCAGAGCTGTGCCCTGCCTGGGGCTGTCCCTGTTAACACTGTCTGCTTCTCCTGCAGTTTGAAATCTCTCTTCCCCACGGGGGGGCCCATCCGGGGCTGCATGAAGGGCTTGAAGGCTCTTGGCAAGTACGTCGACCTGAAACGCATGAGCACCGTGGGCGTCAGCTATGGGTGCACCTCAGACCTCCTGGTGAGCACAGAGCCCTGGCAGCCTGGCCAGCATGCTGGGGAAGGGTCTGTCAGGGAGTGCAGGACCCCCAGGACAGGCCCTGTCTCCCCTCACTCCACAGAAATAATCATAAACCTCCAGTGCAGAGGGGTCATGGTGAGGTGCTTGCTCCACATGGTTGGCCATAGCAACAGCCAGACCCAGCAGGGAACTGGAGCTTCTCGCTCATCTCCCAGCACCCCAGCAAGGCCAGGGCCAGGCTCCCACCTTGCCCCCCTGCTGTCTCTCACAGGTTGCCCGCTCGGTCAGCGTCCATGGCCACGGCTACCTGACCCTGGCTCTGACGGATGTGCCAGGGCTGCGGGACTTCTACAGCGGCTTCAGTTTCCAGACAAGCCAGCATGAGGGGCTGCTCTACCACCACTCCACTCAGGTGGGCACCTGCAGACCCCCTGATATCCCAGCAGTGGTGCTGCTGGGGAGGGTGCTGCTCCCCCTTGGGAAAGAGGGGATTTTGATAGGGCCAGGATGCGAATCTGCAGTGAGATCTGCACCCTGAGCTCCTGGGGGGCAGCGGGGAAGTGGGCTTTTCCTTGGGGTTCAGCTGCTGAGCTTCTGGGTGATGCTTTCTGCAGGAGGGGACGTGCCAGGTGTCCCTCCAGAGAGGCCATCTGGCCTTGAACCTGCTGGGAAGCAAAGTCACCACTGGCAGTGCCTATGCGGATGGCAGGGCCCACTACGTGGCGTTCTACAGCGATGCCCGTGGGTACGTGTCCTGCCGGGGGTGCTGCTGGGGGGCCGGGGTGCCCACAGGCTCCTGCTGAGCCCCTGCTGCCGCCCCAGGCTCCGGCTGTACGTGGATGACGAGCTGCAGGACACCAGGACCAGCCCCGGGCCCAGCCGGCGGCAGCGGCGCCAGGACGGGCGTGGGCTCTTCCAGCTCGGGGGTTCAGCAGATCCAGGTGCTCTCAGCAACCTCACCGGCTGCATCGGGAATGTCTTCGTCAAGCGGTGAGTGACGCCGTGCCTCTTCACACAGCAGGGCTCAGCCCTTCCCACCTCCCAGCTGCTGTGACAAGGGCCTCTTCTCTCTGTGTGTAGGATGTCAGAGCCACAGATGGTGGTGGACCTGCAGCAGAATGTGGAGAGCATCAATGTCACCATGAGCTGTCCCCTGGGCGAGCAGTCGCAGCAGCTCAGAGTCGCTCCAAAGAAGGACAGGCGGAAACCCAAGGTACCGACTGCTCCAGAACTCCCCACACCCTCCTCCTCATCCTGCTCAGATGCCAGTGCTCAGCTCTGCTGGCACATGCAGGGATGCTGCCCTCACTCCATTCCCTGGTGCACATTGTGTAGGTGCCGGGCAAGCCCGTGCCAAAGGGCCGCCGCCACTACCAGGATGGGCTGTACTGGCTGCAGCCCCAGCCCCGCGCTGCCAGGGACACCTTCCGCTTCGGGGGGACCCCGAGCAGCCGCTGGGAGTTTGATGAGATCCCGGCCTCCTTCAGGTGGAGGTGAGCCTCGCCCCGTGCCCACCCCGTGCCAGCCTGGCCCTGGGATCATGGCCTGGAAGCACATGTCCCCTGCAGCTGCAGGACAGCTGGGTGCTCCCATCACTCCCTGTCCCTGCAGGTCCCATTTCTCCCTGGAGGTGAAGCTGAACTCCTCCAGTGGCCTGCTCTTCTATGTGGCGGGCGAGCGGGGCTCCTCTATGGCGCTCTTTGTCTCCAACGGGCGCTTTGTGTTCCTGCTGGACGTCGGCAGGTGCCGGCTGCGCATCCGCAGCAAGGACAAGTACCGTGACCGGCGGTGGCACACGGTGAGTGGGACCCAGCAGTGCCCCTGCAGGGGTTGGCTCAGGGCAGCCCTGCTCTGGGCATTGCTTCTCGGTTGCACTGCAGTCCCAGGAAAGCAAAGGGCACAGTGAAATCACAGCCCAGGGCTGGCTGAACCTCTGAGCTGAGGCTCGCCTTCCCTGGGCACAGCCCTGGGGCTCCTCCCAATCGAGGAACCCCCCAGTTTTGGTAATGACCTTTGTTCCCTGCAGGTCTTCTTCAGCAGAGACCAGAGCCAGGCCCAGCTGTTCATCGATGGGCTGCGAGCCCAGGGTGCTGCGGTGGCCACTCCAGGGCTCTTTGTGGCCCAGACCCCCTTGTATGTGGGGGGGCTCCCAGCTGGAAAAGCCAAGGCTCACATACCGGTAAGGGCTTGGCAGCCCCTTGGCATCACCCTCTCAGCCTGTTCCCAGTCCATGGCATCACCTCGTGCCTCCCAGCTTTTGCCCCCTCTGCTCAGTGGCCTCTCTCCACAGGCTGCATCGGCCTCCAGCTTTGATGGCTGCCTGAGGAACCCACAGCTGGACGGGAGGCCCCTGGGTCCCCCCTCACGCACTTTTGGGGTGACGCCGTGCTATGAGGGCGCACTGGAGAGCGGCGTCTTCTTCGCTGCGGATGGCGGCTCCATCACCTTAGGTACCTCACTGTGGCCTGGGACAAGGAGGATCCCATTCCATGGGAATCCCCTTGGTCCTCTCCTCACCAGTGGCATTTCTCTTCCAGCTGATGCAGTGATGACTGAGCAGGATTTGGAGGTGACGCTGGAGGTCCGACCCCGCAGTGCCTCTGGCCTCATCTTCCACATTGGCACGAGGAGCAGCCACCATCTCCTGCTCTACATGGAGGAGAAAGAGGTACTGGGAGGGTGGCTTTCCCACAGGTTTTCAGAGGGAGTGGGTGTCTCCTGCCTGTCCCTCAGCTCTCCAGCTCTGATGGTTTGTCTCTCCCCAGGTCACTGTGAGAGCAGGTGCTGGGGCTGATGAGTTCTCGGCGTCAGTGACGTTCCCAGCTCTCTGTGACGGACAGTGGCACACCATTGCAGGTGAGGTGACAACTGCCCTGGTTCTGTGCCTCTGCTCAGCCCACATCTCCTAAGGGAGCTCAGGACAAGCCCAGGCTCAGCAATTTAAGCCCTATCCTCCTGCCACGTGCACTTAATTTGGGAGTTTGTAGGTGCCATGAGGTCAGTTTCCTAATTAACAAGAATTCTTGCCTGGTCTTAGCACTGTCAGCTCTGGTAAGCGGGAGAGACAGGTTGTTTTTCCACTTCATGGAGCTGCTGGCAAGGCCAAGGGCATGCCACAGGACTTGATCCATCCTGGACTGTGCCCAGTTTAAGTGAAAGCCCAATTTGCTTTGGTGTCAAGTGTGTCCAAAGGGCTTCAAGCCCACAGCTGGGAGCAGGGATGGCAGGATTCATACCTGGACAGGAAACTCAGCCTTCAGTGTAGCTGCCCTTGAGCAAGTGCTGTTTTGCATCAAGCCCTTTTTGGGGGCACAGCTGCAGCCCCATCTCAGCACAGCTCTATTTTCAACCTTCATCTTGTTCAGCCTGCACTGGGTGAGGTTTTGGGGGAGATTGTGTAGATTCTGGGCATTTCCCAAGGGCCAGGCCCTTTGACCCTCCTGGTAGTTTTGCTCTTGCTCCAGCACTGGTCTAGGCTGGCCAGACTGGTCCAGCCAACTAGAGGTGGGTATTTACCCCATGGGTAAAGATGAAGCACTGACTCTTATTTACTTTTGAAGTTACCAAAAGGAAAAACACAATCCAGGTGAATGTGGACACAGAAGGCAACCACACAGTGGGACCCAGCCAGCCTCCTGCACCCAGCACAAGGGCAACCTTCTCCTTGGGGGGGCTGCCAGGTGAGTTGGGAAAGATGTGCTCCCGGGTTAAATACCCCAAGGACAAGGGAGATGCTGTTCCTGGTGCAAGCAAGGTGTTTAAGCCTTTGCCAGACTAATGCCTGCTTTTTCTTGTTTCTTCCGCAGAGACAGACACGACCAGGGCAGGGCTGATGTTACATCCCTTCCCTCAATACGTGGGCTGTGTCAGGAACCTGCTGATTAACCAGAGGCACGTGGACCTGCCTCGAGCCGGGGCTGCCTGGGGCGCTGTTGGCCTGAAGGGCTGCCCCGTGCTCTGAGTGCCACATCCACAGACAGCCTGAGGGACAGAACGCTGCTCCGGCCCCGGCGTCACCGCTCCAGAGCACTGACCCTGCTGGGACACGCCTGTCTCCAGTGACTGCGGGCACAAGTCGGGGCCAGAGGGGCCACAAATCCCAGGGGAAGGAGGGCAGGGGAGGACGGTTGGGGAGAAGGGGGCACTTTGAGGATGTTTCACAAATAGAACCAAAAAGTTGCAGTGGGATGTGGTGACAGGTGAGTCCTTCCCGGGTGGTCAGGGATCTGCAGCAGGGCTCGTGCTGCCCTGTGGCTCGTGGTGGGAGCGTGGGCTGGAGCACAGAGCAGCCCTGCAGAACGTCCTGAATCCTGTTCCCTTCACCCCACACGTACAACACACATAGATTTAGTTCACCGAACACTTGAGGCCGTTAATAAATGTCACAGACTGTCTGCTGATAAAGGCTGCAGGCAGTTTCTAGTTTATAATAAATGCAATTAGGACAAACTGGATTAATTCCGTCGGTTTTGGGGTTTTATAAGCAAGGTCACATTTAACCTCCCCCCCAAAGGCAGTCTCAGCTCACCTGCTACTGCTACGCAAAGAGCTCTGCAAGGGGGAACTTGGACAACATTCTGTTCGCAGAATTAGCATCTTCTTATCAGAGTAATTTATAAGAATCAAGAACAGAATAGGCTGGGAGAACTGCTGAGGGCAAGCAGAAAGGCACAACCACCACTGGCTCTGCACTTGCATTCAGCACTGTTAATACACTGACAAAAGTCCTTGTGTGAAGCAAGAAAGGGAAGAAATAGAAAAGTTACCTCCACATCTGGCCAGATGTGCAGGGGGCACCTGGTCCTCACCCACCCTGGCTCCTGCTTAGCCTCCCTCAGCCCTGCTCTAGTGCAGTCTCCACTTGAAGCAGCTTTTTTCTCCCAAGACACCCAGGTCACTCGTGCACTTACACGTCATATATATATTTGTGTGTGTATATATATATATCTCTGGCCACTTGGGGACAAAATCTTGCTTCTGAAATGGACTTGTAACTTATATCATTATATTGTGGGGTTTTTTTATGAGGGGTAAATATTGTAAAATGGGTTTTTAACATGTCCATCTTAAATGTAATTATGACCTGTTTTTAAAGTTGTAGTATTAAAGATGGTCTTTGTAAATCACTGGTACATACTTTGGAGTCAAATAAAGTTTTATGTTACTACTCTACCTGGGGAAAGTAAGCATCAGGCTGATGAGGTGGAAGGGGGATAATCAGCACTGTAGGGATACTGTACAGATTGGAAGGAACAGTATGGCAGATAAAGAAAATTCCTTTATTTGTAGATTTATATAAGCATAATATGAAGTTAGTAATCCTACTGCAGTTACTTAAGTTAGTATCTAGGAATATCTGTAAGGAAGAGCAAATAACTTAATCTAAACTCATATCTTCCTCTTCATCTTTCTTGTCCTTAGAGTCTCCTTCCTTTTGGTCTGACTTGACACTGTTCTGCATGGCTTTGGCAAAGGCTTCTACATCTAGAAGTTAAACACAAAAGTTACTGCATTTCCTGGGCTGGAGCTCCTTGCACACACACTTCATTACTTAGAAAGCAAAAAGTGGTTTTAGTATGAATTAGCAGGAGGAAAATTTTAAGCAATAGTAACACACATCCAGATCTCTCTGACACAGCAGTTTATGCACTTGAATTGTGCGTGGGTGTCCCAAGACCAAAATTCTTGCACTTTTGGGAGGGATGCCAAAAGCTCATGAGGGAAAAGGGATCCCCCCACCACCAGAGCTGGCCCTGACTGTGGTCACTGATTTCAGATGAATCATTAAAGATTTTCCCCAAGAAAGGCATTCCTGAGAAAGGTGATTGAGACACCTCCTGGGTCTTTTGTTTCTCTAGCAAGAAAGCAAAGCCAACACATCTCTGCAGAACCCAGCTCCTCTCACTGCACATCACGCCTCACTCTGCTGGGAACACCTGTCCCCCCTGCCTTTTCCTTGTAAACATCAGTGCAAGAATCAGCCTGCAGACTCGAGACTCTCAGAGAGGGAGAGTTAAGAGGGAAGCTGATCCTTACACCCCACATTCATGGTGTGCAGTGCCAAAACCCCCTCCCTCCTGCTCCCACCAGCACCAGCACTCACCGCCTTTATTTGCTGCATCTACTGCCTCTGCAGGTAGCCCAAACTGGCTCATGAGTGGGCCCAGCTGTCCTGAAGCTAAGGCAGCACTGAACATGCTCAAAGCCTGTGGATTAGAGTCAACAGCACCAAAATAAAGTTTGCATCAGATTCCTGCAGCAGTAACTCCAGGAGGAGAGCAGTCCTGGCAGGGCAGGGCTTGGGAACAGATATGCAATAAAATAATCACCAGTTACGTGTCCCTCACTTCCTTTTGTCTGCACGGAGGTCGCTACAGCTTAATCTAAAACAGTCATTTAAGCTACTGAAATTCTGCAGATAGACAAATTTCAATCAATTGGTGCAAATTACTAGTTCAAATTGGTCTGTAAGACACCAGCTTTTATCACACACAGTGTCTTGCAATTAAGGACTGCTGTTTCAAGGGATGTAGTAACCATGGCATCTCCTCCCTTCAGTCACCTGAAATTATCTTTAAGGAGCCATTTGGTAAAAGGGAATAATGAATTGGCTACTATTCCTGTCATTTGCCAGAGAGCATTTATAGTAAAGAGAAAGGTAAAACCCAACTCCAAAAGAAAAAGTAAAAACCATTCCCATCTGCCCTTGAGTGACTGCAGGAAGAACTAGTGCTCCATTAAACCATGTCCCTCCTCCTTTCCACATCTACTGAGCACCTTCTCCCTCTGAACAGTGCCAGGAACATGGAAAAGCAGGGCAAGGTGAATCAGGAGGACGGGAAAGGGGGAAGGACAAGTGCACTTCCCCCCAGAGCCAGCATTTACCTGCTGGAACTGAGGAGACGTCAGGGTGTTCTGGATCTCTTCCGCAGTCTGTGGCAGGGATTCCCCTGAGGGAAGGTAAGGCATCAATCGCTCCTGAACTTCAGCGTTGGCCAGGATGGGAGCCATGATCTCGGGAGTCAGAACAGCTGCCAGGTCCACTAGGAGAAAACAAAGTGGCCATTAGACTACACCCCAAACCCCATGTTTTTGTCCTGTACATCAAATAATCTAGTCAGGGTCTGAGTATTAAAATTTAGTAGCACACTGCCACCATCTTTTCTTCCTCTCAGTTTTGGAGTGAGAAAAAGCCTCCTGAAGCAAAGACAGCACTGAAATTAACCAAAAAAACCCCAACAAACCACCAATAAAACAGGAACAAAAAAATTAAAGAGACCTTTCAAACCAATGTGGAACAGGACAGGACAGTAAAACAGCTCGAAAAGTCTCCTGGATCCAGCAGCTGCCTGGTCAGAGCACTGTTACCTTGTTGTCCTCCTGCTCCAGATGGCACATTCATAGTGGCTAAAATGTTCTGAAGGTCACTCAGTTGAATGGGCTGGGTTGGGCTTGTGGCTGAGCTGGTTCCATTACCCGAACTGGGAACAGGGCTGGGACTGGTCACGGAGGCAGCCGCAGGAACAGACGGGGCAGGCGTTACACGGGTGGAAGAAGTCGTGGAAGATGGAGTCACTGCAGCCGACTGGCTGCGAGAGCTGGGTGAGATCATTAGGACAATTAATTCTCCACAAAAACCTCTTGGACTGTGAAAAGCTTCTTTGCTTACAGTATGAAAAACTCCAACCTCATTATAGAGAGATAATAAGCAGCCTTGATTCCCACCATAGTCCCCGTTCAGTAAGCCATGATTCCTCCCATAGCAGTGGCAAGTTCACGTTACAGTAGCCCAGACAAGGCCTCCTACCTGGATGATGAGCTGCTGGTTGGGGGTCCCCCACTCCCGAGCAGACTGGCCAGCCCAGGCCCCGTCAGTGCGCCCAGCCCACCTTCCGTAAACATGAAACAACAACAGGTTTAGACATTCATTTCTTCAGGTTTTCTGCACCTCTCTGCTCTGGAGAGGCTGCTCTTGCACCTGAAAGGTTTTATTTGCTAAAACAGAGGAGGGGGAGAAAGAGCCTAACCCACCCTCCCATTCCCTTCTGTAAATTAACAGAATCTTCTTTCCTTATCTTGCATCCCCATGAGAGAGCTGAACGTCTCAAAAATTATTCAGTTTCTAGGTGTACACGAGGATGAAGTTCCTCCAGTTTTGTGCTGTACATACATCACTGTAACACAGCCCTCTCCTCTCATCTGCTATACCAACAATCCAACTTTCCTATGAGCTTCAAAACCAAGGCCCTCAGCAGAAGATCCCAGAGGCGTCTCTGAGTCACCACCACTCTCTGCTCACAGACCAGGGGTTTGCAGCTTCAAACCTAACACAGAGATGCAGCAACAGAATCAACCAAGCTCTTAAACACTTCACAGGCAAATGAAGGACAGCTCCACACACCAAGTGCTCTCAGGGGAGCAGCCAGCAGGAAACCAACACCCCTATCCCAAAGAAACCAGAATCAGCCTCCTCCAGCACACATCCCAACTATCAAGGACTTATCGCAGGGTCAAGAACCTCAGCTGGGAAAAGGCCTGACTGCTGACCCCACTGGAGCTGTCAGGAACTCGACTGTTCCCCTACAACTCCTTTGAGCCACATCAGCCAAACACTCCATTTCCCATCAGCAGTTCCTTGCAGCACACCTGACTGTACACACAAAGCACCCACATTTCTCACCCACCTCTGGGAGCACCTGGGAACAGAGGACAGAACAGCAGCACCCAGTGAGCAAACCCAAGGCCAACTGCAGCTGCAGACCCTGGGGGTCAGAATGAGCCCCTGCCAGTCCCTCCTGGCACAGGAACAATCCCATGGAATCAACACTTCCTGTCACTCATCCCGAGCTTCCCCAGCAGCAGGCACGGCAGGTGAAGCTGCACCACACACTGCTCTGCTCCATTTCATGGTAAAAGTGACCCAGGAGCAAGAGACTCCTTTGCAGAGTCCCAAGAGATGCAAACCAGATGTGAAGAAGACGACATTCCCAGGGGAAATGATCCCCAGGGATTCACCACAACCACTGTTTGCAGCAGCAAGCAGATGGTTCTCTTTCTGTTATGTGTCACTCTGGCTTATGGCTGGATGTAAAGGCAAGGAAAGAAGAATTGCTGAGGAAAAGTTGAGAAAAGGAGGACAGTATCAGGATTATGTGAAGCTTCAAGAGAAAGATCTTGTCCACATACATCCTAAAAGGCCAGATTTTACCAACACTAACATGGCATTTGCATCTGAACATCCCACCAATAAGGAACTTGCATCTGCAGCTAAAAAGACACCAGCCAGATCCACAAAAATGGACTTCTTAATGAGCTTAAGCACAGAACCTTTGTCACTGCCACCTGTGTTCCTTTGCCTATTTGCACTCCAGGGTCTGACCTGTCAGAAAATGCTGCTGGAGCATGAATAGCATTGAGAACAGAGCACAGCAGGGATTCCAACACAGCCCTCAGCCCCTTCAGCAGCCAGTGATTCCAGCTCTCTCCAGGGCTGCCCAGGAGAGAAAGCCCTGTCCTGAGCCTTGCCCCTCTGACTGGGGAGTGCTGTGGGGTGATACCACTTAAACCTTCCTCTTGAACTCTTTCTACTTTGCACACGAATATTCACTGAATCAGAGACAATACAATTCCACAGCTTGGTAACCCAGTACATTCACCAGAAACAAATCACTGGTTTTCAGCCCCTGCTCCAGTGAATATTTAGGAAGAAAAAGAGGAGTAGAAAAAAACAAGGGAAAAAAGCACAGAAGACTGAGTGCTGCAAGGAGCAGAACCACAGTTCCTTGCAGATCAAGCCCTAAGATGAGTGCTGTGTAGAATCTGGTACCCTTCTTCTGTCCCTGAGCTCATCTCTGAGGCAGGGCCTTGCCTTCTCACATGAAAGAAACGCTATTGAGATCAATAGCACTACTTGAAAATATTGTCAGGTAAGATTTAACCTGGCAGGAGAAAATACCATTTTGGCATAAAGATATTAAAGCATTTTACCAAGTCCTCCTAAGCCCGTTGGTCCGATCAGCTGCATGAGCTGGTTATGGCTCATGTTTCCAAGAAGGCTTTGCAAGCCACCCTCACCTAAAAACAAAAACATTCTGAAACACAACATATTCACATAGTTTTTTTTTTCACAGCA